GGGGGGGGGGGGATGAGGTCAGATAAGATCTGCTAAGTGTTTTGGAGTTCAGGAAGTAAATCCCCCCCCAGCCATGGTGACGAGAGCATAATGGTCAACATGTGCTCCCAGCTCGCACAGCACATCCTGTGGCCAGAGTGAGGTACAGGCGTGTCTTGATTGAGTAACAGCCTCCTGTCCCCTTAAAGGCCACCACAGCTGTCCTTGAATGACAGATCTAGCCTTCGGTGCTCGCTGTGGTTTATCTGGTCAGTAATTGCACTGGCGAACATCTGAGCCACCCCTCACCATCGGCCCAGATGAAGCTCCGAGTCACTGTCAGGGGGTGGGATCCGCAGTGCTCCACCATCCCGCACCCCGTCCTCTCTGCTTAATCGTGTCACTGTCAGGGGGTGGGATCCGCAGTGCTCCACCATCCCGCACCCCGTCCTCTCTGCTTAATTGTGTGATATATTTGAGCTTTGCAGGGCTGAGGAATAACGGAGAGCTCGAGTTTCACAGGCTGTGTAATTAATGTTTTTCGGGATGTTAGGACGCCAGGGCTCTCTCTGTATTACAGCTGTGCAGGGCTCAGCTCTAAACACGTTTTTTTAATCTTTGGATTACAGATTTTATGTCTGGTGCTCATTCCTGCATCTTAGGCCTGGCTGACCAATCGGCTTCATCTTGTTTTTTATGCTCATCATTTGAATTCATAGAGAAATGCAGCTAAGCATTCTCCTCCTACAACTAGATCTGCTATGGAACATGCTGAATATTTAAGCAAAGGCATAACAAACTGGTGACTGTGTTTAATATTATGGGAAATAGGCCTGCAGGGTTAAATATGGTCGACTGCTTCAGAAAACTGAGGAGACCTGTAACGTCTCTCAGCCCTTGCAGCTTCACCTCTGAATAAGAGATTAAAATGTGAATTCCTGTTGTCAGACACTTCAGATCTTAAATTTCCCCTTTAAGTTCTATTCCTAGATAATAACTTTGAATGTTTCTCTAGTGGAAGGTGAATAGAGACAAAGAGAAAATGCCCTCAGGATGGAGATGACTTCAGCTGAGGAACAGTCTGCGTGTTGTCTGCGGTGATGCGTTTCCTGTTTCTCCCCAGCGGCGTCTAATCACTGCGTGGGGCCACTCGGGGGAGATGGGGGTAATACCAGTGGAATTGCCTGGGTCTCAAAGCAAGAAGCTGGTTCATCTCCAACCCTGCGCTCTGTGATAAAGAACCAGCCAGTCAGACTCCCCATTGGGAAAAGCACCAGATATTTATATTAGGAGGTACAGAGTGTGCCAGCGGGTGACTGCCCTCCATCGTCCCCGGCTACCCGCTGGCCGTCCTGCCCAGGGAGGGCCAGGCGGGGCTGTCTCGGCCAGACGGACGCCGGAAAGCTTACGGAAAAAGTGAGCACCATCCTGTGACACGGGTGCCTGCCAGCCGGACCAGGGATCCCGAAAGTAATGCAGGGCAGGATGTCGGAGTGAAGTTAAAGCCCCGGTCCAGTGGTGGAATATCAAATCCACGCCTGTTTGAGGGACAGGAATGTCGATTTTGGGTCTTGAGGCAGGAACACCATGGATTTTGTGCACTAGGAACGAGGGCTGGCAGACTCACTTCACCTCGGTGACTGTGGTCACCTGACTTCTTTCTCCTCAGATAGGCTTTGGGATCAGTGCAGGTTCACTCAAGGGCCCAGTGGTGATATATTTATTCTGACAGATTTGAGATTTGAACCCACAACCTTCTGGACACAGGCACTGATCACGGGCCTTTTTGCTTCTATCAGCCCAGCCCCACTGGCATACAAGAACCAGACCGTACCCGAGCTGCACTGTGAAGAGTGACTAGTTACAGCACGGTTCCAGCTCGCTTCGGTTTTCCACTGCAGAAGGGTCAGCTTGGCTCAGTTGCCGGGTTTGGAGAGTGACAGTGATATATAACCGAAGAGACGCCTATTTATAATAACGAATAATATATACAATATGCCCTTTTCTCCTTCCAATAATCCATGCACAGAACACCGGTACCTGCATGCATTTTGACCAGTCAGCCAGCTAGCTTTTGACAGGTCCACGTCGGCACGGTTACGGCTTGCATATGGCTCGGTTCTTGGTGGCAGTGGAAAAGCACCATTTGGAGCAAATCATTATAAATAGATGCGTATTTAAAATGCCTCTCTGGGAAGACACACTTGGGGGGGGGCACTGACTTATGTAGATCTGCACACCTGCAGGGCAAGGAGGACTTCAAAGACCCCTCCCCCCTCCCGCCCAGGGAGAGCAACATGCTGGGCAGCTCCTGCTAGCTGACACCTCTGCCCCAGGCGGATCCCCCCCCCACGCAGTAGAGCTGTATGTCTGTGCTACAGCTGCATTCTGTCTGCTTAGCCTCCCCCCCCCACCCATACACACACACACACACACACAAAGGGTTCCATTCAGGCTGGTGGGGGGAGTGTCCCAGTGCTGGAGGGGGTTATTTCATTTCCATTCTTCAAAGAAACCCTGAGATCTTACTAATAAAAGCCATTTGTAAACACAGGCCACTCGGCCACACATTCCGGCTCTGACTGTAAAAATGCGACGGCCAGCATGCGCAGGCGGAGCAGCACGGAGCACTGGGAGCTTTATCGCCTGCTGTTGCGCAGTCACTGCCACATTTTTAGGTTAATAAAGTTAGTCTGTGATTTAAAGAGCCCCGGCTGTTATTTTGCAGTCCTTTCTGAAGCCATCCCCTTTACTTGGGCAGCTGTCAGTCTTGAGCACTCAGTTAACCAGGGAAACACAGCTGGTTTAATCTCATTATTTCAGTCTTGCTGCAAGTTCAGAAGAAAACTTGAGAAGTACACATAATTTAGTGTAACTGTGCTTAAGGATAGAAAATGGCATTTTAATGTAACTGAACGTTGATAATAGTAGATAATCATAATTCTATATGGGCTGAATTTTATATATACCAAGTGGAGAAACATGCAAACTCGGCACATACAGAGAGAAAGGACTGGAATTCGAACCCCCAACCCTGGGGGTGTGAATGAACAGGGCTATTGTCCTGGTCATTAGCAGGACTGAAAGCATAACCAAACCAAACTGGTTACCTCACCACCATCTGATTGGTCAAAATGCACAAATTGATTGTCACAGATGTTCTAGGGGAAACTGACACAGTAAAAAAGATAAATACTAATAAAAGCTGCAGACAGTAAATCATGATGTTCACCATATGAACAGTAAATAAGCGTCTCTTTCGTTTTACGTCACTGTTGCTCTAAACCTGGCAGCACTTTTACCGAGCCGACCCTCTGCAGTGGAAAACCGAAGCGAGCTGGAACCGCGCTGTAACTAGCATCTCTCTGCGGTGCGGCCCGGTTCCTGTATACCTGTGCAAACGTGCCATTATTTAACCTCTCCTAAAGTTACCCCATCAGTGCATTTTTTTTTTAACTGGACCACTACCCTTGCTAATCAATATTATTTTGAATTATTTAAATAATTAAGCTCATTCATTAACTGAGCTGGTTAGGAGAGGAGGAGAGAGGTCTGGGAACTGAAGCGGCATTCATCTAGCCATCCAACTAGATATCAGTAACTTTTTGGAGAGCAGAGAAAATTCTTGTTTATTTTTTTATTGTGTTGCTGTTGATTTGATTCAAGATTCAAGAGATTTATTTGTCACATACAATACAACATGCAGTGAAATATGCATATGTTGCAATGTCTTTCCTCAGGAAATATACACTAACTACCCAGACAAACAGCCAAAATCATTTTCTTTCACTGCCAAAGACATTTGCACAGTATCGTATGTGTAAAAGCTTAATGAGTGGTATGTATCATGATGGCCCCCCTGCGCCCGTGTTTGCGTGTCCCCGCAGGTGGCCCCCGCGGACGCCTGCCCCAGCAATCGCTTCACCCTCTCTGGGGAGTGCTGCAGGTTCTGCCCCGCGGGATTCGGCGTGGCAGCCCAATGCGGCAGGGAGAACACCAAGTGTGAACCGTGCCAGGATGGTGAGTGACCGGGGGGGGGGGTCGACTGAGGATCAGAGAGATCACACCCCTAATGACCCGGTTGAAAAGACAACACCCCAAACAGAATGTTTTTGCCCCTCTTAGCACGGGGAAGCGGGACACTTGGGGCCGGCACCTTCTCGGAGGACAGCAGCCATGACCGGACATGCCAGCCTTGCTCCCAGTGTCAGGACAATGAGGTGGAGATCCGGGCCTGTCAGCCCAACTCCGACACGCTGTGCATGGGTGAGTAAGGGGGGGAGAAACAGCTCAAAGCACTAACTGGGTCCAGATTCCCAGACAGGGGTGGGGGGGGCTGACTAGCAGCTGGCTGGCCTCCAGAGGGGACCCCTGTTAATCTGCACATGCGGAGAACGGGACCTCTGACCCCCAACAGGGGTACAGGCAGCCTCCAGACCCCCTTTGATCCCGAAATAACCCAACAGTGGGAGGCAGCACATGGCGGGGTCCGTCCCCAAGCTGGGGGGTGGGTTCGTCACATTTGGCTAATGGCCGCCAAGCAGCGCTGGCCCGAGCCGCTGCTCGGCGAATCCGGCCCCCCAGACACAGGCAGGGGGTGCCTGTGCGTCCAGCTCCCTCGCCCTGGCTCGGGGGGGGGGATTTTGCCCACTTTTCAGGGACACTCAGCGGGGCAGCTGCTGCATACCTTCCAGTGCTCCGCCCAGTGCACCCCCCCCCCCCATGAGGTTCAATAGCAGGAGGCATAACCGTTTAGCTAAATCAGTAATTATAGCATCAGTGTGGAATGTTAATTTGTAAATGTACTGAGTGAAGGAGGAAGACGAAAGGGCCTCTCTCTCTTTCTTCCCTCCATCTTTTTCTCTTGTTCGCTCTCCTTGAGTCCCAAGCTTCATTCCATCATCCTTCTGTCACCCTGCTACAGAGAGGCACCTCCACATCTTGTCCAGACCCACTGAGTCGGATGGCCCCCGCAGGGAAGCCAGCCCAACCTCGGGGGAGCCCAGGTTCACCCCTCAGGATCAGGGCGGCAACAGCATCATCCCCGTCTACGTGTCCGTTTTAGCTGCCGTCGTGCTTGGGCTCCTGCTCTACGTCGCCTACAAGTGGTGAGTGCCTGGCACAGTGTTAGCTGACCGAAATATAGATATTCTTAACAGAAAAGATATCATCAGTGTAGCTAGACATTATAGAAGTTGTAAAAACAACAGAATGGCAATTTGGGAAAAATATAAATTCTGCAAAATAATCAATGCAGAAGAAAGCTTTTTTTGGTAGTTGTATGAATGCCTCCGTGCTCAGACTGCAGGATCATAACATGTCACACAGCCGTGTTTCAGGAATCTAAGTGTGAGGTTCCTCTAACCGTCGACGTGCCGTCCACAGCCGGACTTCCTGCAAGCAGAAGCAGGCCCTGGGAAAAGCTCGGAGCGGGGATCCCAGCAGCGCCCCCGAGGGAGAGAAGCTGCACAGCGATAGCGGCGTCTTCCTGGACTCCCACAGCCTGCAGGAGACCCAGCTCAGCAAAGGTGAGGAGGAGAGGATTGGAGAGTCTGCCGTTGTCAGGCGATTCCCGTGGCTTCTGATACAGGAAAGGGCGCTGAAATCGAACAGTGAGGCAGGAGAATATGAAAGCGTTTGAGAACGTAACATAGTGGCTCCCCTGTCAGGATGTATCTGAATCCACAATCACGACAGCCAGTCAGAAGGCCCGGTCCACAATCACGACAGCCAGTCAGAAGGCCCGGTCCACAATCACGACAGCCAGTCAGAAGGCCCGGTTACTTTGGACTGATCGAAATGACTAGGTGGAGGCTGACTGGTCAATTACATGTGAAACTCGATCAGTTTTTCAGACGTAATGCTTCGCCACCCTGAACCCGCATCACAAACCGCTGTCAATGACTCACTGCTTGGACACGCACACTGAGCCATATCTCTTACCCCCCCTGCAGGCAGTAAGCGGGACAGCAAGCTGGACACGCGGCTCTATCTGAACGTGGCCCCCCACAGGCAGGAGGAGGTGGAGCTCCTGCTGCAGGAGGGCGGCGACTGGAGCTGGAGGCAGCTGGCAGCCCAGTTAGGGTACGAGCTGCAGCAGACGGACATGTTCGGTCGTGGGGAGGACCCGGTGCACACGCTGCTGTCTGACTGGGCTGCGCAGGACGGCTCCACGCTGGGCGTGCTCTGCTCCGCCCTGACGAAGATCGACAGGGCCGACGTGGCCACGCTTCTCTGCTGCCCCACGCAGGGAAGCTCTGTGGTCTGAGTGCTGGACCAGCCCCCAGACTGACTGCCCCACCTCCAGGGGGAGTGTGTGAGCGCGTGTGTGCTGGGCGGAGGGGGGCGACTGACATCCAGAAATCAATCCGCAGTATAAATGGCGGCGCCCGTCAGCCCGATAGAGGGTGCCGGCTTTTCCACATGTGCCACCTCGTCATCTGCAAGCCACTGATGCAAGAAAATAATCCCGCTACACCTCACGGGCTCTGGGACTCGGGTCAGAGTGAGCTGGCAGAGTGCTTCTTGGGGTCCTGCCCACCCCAGGCTGAGGCTGCGTGCCTCGGTGCCTCAGAGCTGCCTCTTCCACCCCCACTGCTCATTTCCTGGGGTCCTGCCCACCCCAGGCTGAGGCTGCGTGCCCCGGTGCCTCAGAGCTGCCTCTTCCACCCCAACTGCTCATCCTCACCACACCCCAGAGTGAAACATTTAGTCCGAAACTAAGCTGGCTCTACTCTGCTTGATCCTTTCACTCTGCTTCTGTCCTCCTCATTGTCGCTGCTCTCAACTATTTCTGTGACCCTTTGCAGCCAGAAAAAGGTGGTCAGGATTTAAAAATTTGATCTCCAAGAGAAGCCACTTCTTTAAGCCGCCCAAATCTTGCCTGATGTGGTATTGGCTTCCCTTTGATCAATGTTATCTTATGTATCTTGTTATAAGCATCTCAGTATGTTAAGAGATCTTGTATAATATTCTAGCTTGTTAAATAAATACAGTTTGAAGTTTGCTGGCTTTTGATAAGTCACTTTGCAGTGACGGTGCCCAAGAATTGCATGTTCCTGCATGTTTACTGGGTCTATTGAGCAACAGAATTTGGGGGGGGACAGAGTTTTCACTGCAGAATATTAAGAAAAAGAAAATAAAAGCTATCACAGCAAGATCTGATATCTGCAGTTAGGGTTAAACTGACCCCGGAGTTTTGGAGGTTCTGCACCTCTGGGAACGCCACCCGCTCCGTTCTCGGACCAACCACTTCCTCCCGGTCCTGAAACCGAGGAAAGGTCAGAAAGTAGCAGTAAAGGCCTTTGCACACCAAGTCAAAATTTTTCATATGCATTTTTTTTTTTTAGATCTGTCATCACATAAAGATTGTTACACACAGTAAACTCGCACATTGAGTCTGATGTATTTTATTCTATTTAGTTGTGAAAATTCGCAGTATGAGAGAACAGAGTTAACAAGCAGAAGGTGATTTGTGGTCCTCACACTTCGGAGCTGGAAAAAGAGAGAAAATGCTGGATCCATCCAATCCTGAGAAACCGTCAAGAGTAAGGAGAATTTCAACTGCTGATATGGGAACTATCCTATTGTTTCAAGGTGTATTTCAGAATGTCAGTGGTCCGGACTGATACACTAACAATACTGTAACCACGTATTAAAATCAAAAACTACCAACTTCCACGATTCTGTTGGTCCTGAAGAATGGCTGGCATTTTGTCTAAGGTGGAGACACATGAGTTTAATAGGTTTAAACTAAGCCGCTGGAAAAGTGCTCTCTTAGTGATTGGGAGATATTCAGGACACAGTCTCAAAACGCTGCAATATACATACAAAATCACAGTCAATAGCTTTTAACAGGTGCAAAAAACCAAAGAAAATCAAAATGGTTCCGAAAACCAAAACAAAAGGGGACAGAGGGATAATTACCGATCAGCATAGGAGCCGACCTGTGGGACCACAAGCCGCCATTTAAAAACTAGATCTGCACTTCTGCAGTGGAGGTGACATCACTGGCCGGGGTTCATCCCGAGTGCCATCTGTCACACCATGCTGCCAGAGCCACCAAAACAAGGGGGCGAAATGCTCCCAGACTCTGTCATGCATTTTGCTTTTGAACAGAGCCCCCCCCGCCCCACCCGAGAATGATAATAGGACACAGGCAGGCCTCCGACCCCTGGGAAGCACCACATGCTGTCACGCACACCAGACGGGACTGCTTTACTGCGGGGGGGTTGGGTGGGGAGACAGCGGACTTAGGGCAGTGCTGCTAATAAATGAATCCCAGCACTTTGATTAATTTTACTGGGAGGAGATTTTCAGTATGACGAGCCACCAGCTGTGGCAACCAAATACGGTGCCAGAAAGTGACCAGGTCCAGCCCCTTCTGTATGATCCATTAGACGGCGTATCGCAGGTCGGAGAGTGACCAGGTCCGGCCCCTTCTGTATGATCCATTAGACGGCGTATCGCAGGTCGGAGAGTGACCAGGTCCGGCCCCTTCTTTATGATCCATTAGACGCCGTATCGCAGGTCGGAGAGTGACCAGGTCCAGCCCCTTCTTTATGATCCATTAGAGACGGCGTATTATAGATCAGTGCTTTGAGGATACCCGTCATGTTTCAGAAACGGCCACCAGCTGATTCTTTTTTTGTTTTTTTGTTTTTTTAAAAAAAGTTTATTTGTCTTTAAAATGTTTTTACACTCAATATGACAATGTGCTTGCACAGTACTTACAGGGGAGTGGAGGCAAGACTCCGTTTGTACATAGAAAATCTCTGAAATCTCAAAAAAATAAAAACAAACATAAAACAAAAATGACATCACCCCCTGAAAACCAATCCAAACTGAAAATTAATAAAAAAGCTGTGATTATCGGTAGGATCTCAGGGGCCGGCTGACACGTGATGAACAGGGCGGTAAGAAAAGGCCACATGTGCCCCCCCCCCCCCGCACCCCTCCACAAAGCCATTTTCTGGTTTAATTACACATATTTACACTTTAAATCATGGACAAACCGTCCTTTTACAAAGTCTTCGCTTATTTAAACATTATCAAAAACACAAAGAAATGTCAAGGGGCAAAAACAAAAAAATCATTATATTCACATATAAAGCGATATAATACATGTGTTTGAGGGTGTTTAATGCAGTTCAAACAGGAGAGGAGTCTGAGGAACAGCCGAAGCTGTAGGACCAGTATGCAAACAAAGCTGAGACAGATGGTGCTGCAGAGGGCTGGTCTCCCTGCAAAAGGGCGGGAACAAGGTCAGGTAGGCGGGACTGCTTAAGGGTGGCCTACCTACAAAGGGGCTGGACAATGTCAGGTAGGCGGGACTGTAGAAGGGTGGCCTACCTACAAACGGGTGGGGACAAGGTGAGGTAGGCGGGACTGCAGAAGGCTGGCCTCCCGATAGAGGAGTGGGAGGAAAGGGTCAGGTAGGTGGGACTGTAGAGCCAGCTTCTCTACAAAAGGGTGGGGTGAAGGGACGGACTCCAGCTAGTGACAGACTTAACGACAAATGCTACAAGAGCATCCTGTGGGGTGGAGACAGGAGTGGCTCAGGGACTCAAGGTGAAGTACCAATCAGGAACATCAGCAATGTCCTCTTTACGTGATTGGATTTTATTTTAAAATAATAATGAGAAACAAAGAAAGGACACTGAATGCGTGTATTATGGAGCCGTGATCAAATCTACTGTGTGGATAACACAGTGATGCAGACGTTGATACAATTCTTCAACCTGGAGTCGCCAATGATGGGGAGGGAACTAAAAGCATGTGGACCAACCAGGAAACACCACCGCTGCCTCTGGCTCAAACTGGCATTCACTCCACACGAGAAACTGTGCGTGCGGACGGCAGGCGTGAGCACTTATGACGTGGCTTCACAGACCATGTGGCTGAATTCTTTCTTTCTACAGTTTCCTCTTGAAGGCAGCGGCCATCACAAGCAGTCTTTGAAACAGGTAAACCACCATTGACCAACCTCGCATGTCTTTTGAGAAGATCCAAGACAGCGTGGCCAAGCCCGTGTTCCTGAGGTCCTGCTTGGGATGTCTCCACACAACATACAGGATGGAGAAGCATGTATACATGGATTGAGAGGAGCGGTGTCTTCAGAAGGGCCTGCCTATCCTCCCTCAGACCATCACCATGACAACCTGTCTCTACAAAACCTCCACAGAGCTTAAAAAGCAGCAGTTAGGACATGGTTACCGTCAAGTAAAAATGACTAGAATGTGCACAGAACAGTCTTTACTCCTCAAAGTCACACCGCAGGCTGCTCAAGGTGGCCACAGCCCGCCCTTGGCAGATGTGGGACTGGCATGTCCATGGTTAAAGGCCAGGCTGCATTTCGGTTTGGGCACCATGCAGCAGGGGGCGCTCTGCAGCCACCCTGGCAGCTAGTCCACCTCTGTGTCCTCCTTGGGTTTGTAGAGCGGCCCAAACTTCTGCATGTATTTCTTAATGTACTCCTTGGTCTTGTGCTTGACGTTCTCGTTGCACTCCAAGTCCTCGGGGTTCTTGCAGGACTTCAGCTCCTTGTTCATCACACCGTGAGTCAGCTGCGAGGACACATACCAGGGAGGGGGTGTTAGTTAGTGGGGGCGTGTCCCTGCTAAGTCTCTGCTGGTCTGACCCCATATTACTCCAATGAGGTGCTTTTATTTAAGCTTCTGCTGTGAAAAGATGGCGTCCAGCCCCCGCCTGCTCACTGGGCGGGCCCAAAAAAAGCCACACACAAGCACAAGCTTAATGAAGAAGTGCTTGTTGTCCCCAACCTGGAGGTGGTGCAATGACCCCCCGCCTCACCTTTCTGGCCAAGTGTTTAAAGTCGTCTGTGTTACTGATGCGGCCCAGCTTGCAGTCCGGCTTCCGGTACGGGTTTAGGCACTGCACGATAAACTGAGACATCTGTGGGTAGATAAATGGAGAGCCACGGTGAGGAGACGCATGTAAACACAGGAAGAAAAGTGCATCTGGGTACCCGGGAAACAGATGTATCTGTGGCAGTACTGAAGGACCCGATTTTGGATTCAGAGTGCTAAGAGGGTTACCCTTTGATGTGTTTAAATGGAAAGGGATAATCACGTATGGACTGACAGCGTGAAGAGATGATCCCAGAATAGTGGAGTGTAAAGAAGCAAGCCCATGAGCAATGTGATTCAGCTGACACACATGGTCCTGCTGATGCAGATCAGACAGAGTTCCTTTAAGGTGTCTATACCTATCCAGTTACTAATATAAGCAACGGAAAGCTTCACTAAGACACAGACAAGCAGACAGAGATGGGGGCACACACATCAGGAGGATAATTCTGACCCATTCCCTGTCAAAATCGAACCTCCCGACCTCCAGCCGGGCCGGACCGGGAAGCCCTGGTCAGCGCGACACTCGCCTCTTTGCGGAAAACCTCCTTGCTCTTCTTTGCCAGCTCGCTGGAGGTATCAGCCTCTGCGGTCTTGGTGGAGAACTGCAGGAGAGGGGGGACAGCAGTGCTTAGTGTCTGCAAGAACCATCCAGCATGTAATCAGTGAGTGACACAGGCTGTACAAGAGCATTCTTCAGTCAGTACTGTAAAGAAAAAGAAAAAAGAAAAAAACAGCAAAGAATATCGACATGACTGTATTTAGGAGGGCCTCTCCTTTGCCTGTAATAGAACCTGGTGGTTCATTACTAGGTACTTCTATTTCTAATGCCGCAGAGTTTGTCGGGTTTTCACTAGGCTTGTGAGAGCTTGTCACTGTTAGTCACTCTGATTCACAGAGATGCAACAATACATCATACCAAGGCGGGAATTAAGAAGAAGAAATGCAAGTTAATCCTTTATAAGCCGCCAGGGACAGCATTCAGCATGGAGACCTTCAGGGTCCTCGCAGGGAGAACGTACTGAGGAGAGGGACAGGAACAGGGAAATGCAGCCTTTGAATAAACGGCTTCATTTCAGCGAGGGAAGCGGACGGCGAGGGAATGGGCCGCTATCGTCACATGTGCTCAGCGTCAGGGGGTGGGGGGGGGGGGGGGGGGGGGGGGGGGGTAGCACGGAGATGAGAGCACCACAAAGACACGTTTGATGGACCACATTGTTCCGACCGGGAATAACAAGAACAGCGACTCAAGGGCGTTTAGAGTGGGGAGAGTCTGAGCAGTCCAATCTGCAAATGCAAACACATTAAGCTGTCTCGGATTATCATCAAAGGAAGGGGGGGGGGCCCATGATCACGCCAAAAATGCAGACGAGAGCACGGTACCCCACCCCTCGGGGGCCCAGGGGCTAGGCAGCTGTCTGAGGATAGAGATGGCAGCCACAGCAGCGGGCAGGGCTGCTATTCCACAGTCTTTCTGATCCAAGAACCACTTCATTTTAAATCCTGAAACAACAATTAGCCTCCACGTGCCTTTGTGACCACGTCACGACTGAAGGGGCGGGGCGGGGACTCTGCGACTCTACAGTGTCTTGGGGGTATTTAATTTGATTAAAAAGGGCATTTGCACAGCGTCTTGTACTGGGGGAAGCATATAAGGAACAATACTTAATTTACTGAAACAACTAATAAATATAAATATAAAAGTTTTCATGCTAACGGCATCCCGACCGACAAACCAGTCAGAGCAAACGAGCCAGCTGCTTGTGTCTCTCATCTCCTGGCCTCGTTTAACTTTCCTTATGCTACATGAGATGGGTTAGTTACCTGCCCTGCACGCACGCGCCCCTGCACACAGGCTCAGCACACGCACGCGCCCCTGCACACAGGCTCAGCACACGCACGCGCCCCTGCACACAGGCTCAGCACACGCACGCGCCCCTGCACACAGGCTCATCACACGCACGCATGCATGCACACAGGCTCATCACACGAACACGCATGCATGCACACCGGCTCATCACACGAACACGCATGCATGCACACCGGCTCATCACACGCATGCAGACATGCACACAGGCTCATCACACGCAAGCAGCCATGCACACAGGCTCATCACACGCAAGCAGCCATGCACACAGGCTCATCACACGCACGCGCCCATGCACACAGGCTCATCACACGCACGCGCCCATGCACACAGGCTCATCACACGCATGCAGACATGCACACAGGCTCATCACACGCAAGCAGCCAAGCACACGCTCATAATACGAACACGCATGCGTGTGGCACCAGTTGAGCTACATGTATATTTGTGTCACACAGATAACATGGTAACCAGGGGATGGCCCCAAAGCCCACAGCATGGGTAAAAATATTGACGACTATAACAGGAAGCTGACTGTCCCTTCTCCTAATTTGGGTCCTACTGTCGTACCAGACACAACCCACAGTCAGTGTTTCTGCTGGTAACATTTCTCCGCGACACTCCACCATGCCAAAATCTTTGCCCTCACGCCAAACCTCTTGATCCACAAGAAACACGGATATTTATGCAAGCAATGTGAATTTAGATAGGATGTAACTTAAAATTGAGTAGTTTACCAACCCAAGAATGTGCATACCACCTTAAACATGACTGTCATGAAAGACACACGCTATAACTTTTGTAGCACGTAGAGGAATCACCACCAGCGACCACAGCCGGACTGACGGTGCAAGGGTACCTTGGAGGGGTTTTCGTCATATGTCGGAGTCCCCAGGTCCATCTCGGCCTCGTGCCCCACACTGGTGTCCTCGCTGCCCGCTTCCCAACAAGGAGGGTCCCACTGTGTCTGCCTGCAGAAGAAAGAGGGCACACAGTCAGAGCAGGAAATGCGAAGAAGCGGAAATGGTTTTAAAATGGCAGACGAAGCAACGTTAGGATGAGATGTGTAGCTAAAGAAATCAAATCGCACTTAAAACAACTTGCTTTCTGGAACACTTTCTACTGGACATTAACTTCTACAGACAGACTCAGTATTTAAAGGAATATTCAAACCATCTCTGGGGGCAGTTTTAAAACGGTGGGCTGACACCTACCTCGTGATGACATGGTAGTAGTAAATCTTGCCCTCAGAGTCTCTCGCCACCTTCCAGCTCGGAGGAAGCACAATTGTTTTGGGTTTGGGTGGCGAAGGTGGGGGCAGGTCCATCAGGCTGTTGGGGGCCATGAGCTCCTATGGAAAGAGGCAGGGGGGAGTCAGGAGGGGTGTGGCTCATAAGGGAATGATGGAGCAGGATGATGGGCAGGATGAAGCCCAGCCTGAACCCCAACAGCAACGGCAACACTATCAAATACATGCAAAAAGAGCTCATCCGGAATAATACAACACTTAAGATTAAAGTGGAGGAACAAACGAGCATGGAGATTCCACTGTAAGAAAGGAAGGCCAATCAGAAAATGAGCTGAGAAAAGAGGGAGTGAGAACACTGTGAAAGGGGGGGCCGCCCTGGGGGCCATAGAATCGGGTAGAAAATTTAAAAAGAAACAAAAACAGCCTAAAGACACTGATAGGGAAACACTCAACATCTCGATAACCGAACCGTTGCTACAGGTGTCACACCTCAATATGACAGCAATACAACAATCACTGTGAGGACTGTATGTATGTATGCATGCGTGTATGCATGCGTGTATGCATGCGTGTATGCATCAGAGTGTTTCCTTCTTGTCACTGTGCAGTACAATAACATTTAGTTCTGTGGCCCAGTAATTGGGTGCCATCAGAAGGCTTTCTTGGACTAAAACGTTTTGAACTGGGACAACAGGCTGTCGAGCTGCGTCTTTAACATGCCAAGACTTCACCTGTGCCTATTGTGCACGACAACAAAAAACAAGGCACTCTGGCGCCACCCAGTGTCTGAACAAGCACTTTACCTGCTGAACAGCCGGCGCGGTGACGATGGTGGTGACGGTGCCGGCCTGCTGCAGCACCACTCCCTGCTGATGGCTGCTGTAGACTGGCTGGCCCTGAAGGTAGCCTGTGGCAGGCTCAGCATAGGCCTGCTGAAGGGAGACGTGGGAAAACACGAACGCCGATTAACTGGAGAAACAAACCTACAATGACGCAGCGTGGAACAATGGTGGGAGAATACCAAGAGAGACAACCAGTGACAAGCAAACTGCTTTCCCATCATGCTTTGTAAGCCATCTGATGACATTCTTGGTTAGGTATATTCACACTGGGGCCACAAGGGGGCAGTGGTGCTCACCTGGATAACTGGCGTGCCAGCCTGGGGGTAGGCCGTGGGGATACTGTACACAGCCTGGCCCTGGTAGTAGACGGCAGTCTGCGGCTGCGCACTGGCTGGGTACTGCTGGGGCGGCTGCGCCTGCACGGGGAGCGGCTGCGGCACGCTGGCCGTGTTCCACAGGGGGGTGTAACCCTGCTGGCTCTGCACCTGCGCTCCAGCTGCGGCCGACGGCGCCGCCACGGGCAGGACAGCGACCGCCGCAGGGTCCTGGCCGGCTGGCCGGGGTTGTACGTACTGTGGCCCCCCGGGGGGGAGCTCCAGCGTCGGAGGTGCCGCCACGTGCTGGACGCCGGCCACGGCCGGGGCCTGGGGGGCCTGTGGGGGGGCCGGCGAAGTCAGAGCCAGCTCGGAGATCAGCGGCTGGGGGGGTGTCTGCTCATATGGCACAGTGCCAGCACTGGCACACAGAGGCTCCACTGCGGGGGTGGGCAGGAGCACCTTGCCCGCGTTGGGATTGGTGGGATCCACGTAGGTCTGCATGGGGTAGCCCGGAGGGTAGCCCATGTAGCCGTGCGGGCTGGGGGAATAGCCCAGGGTCTCGTAGGCCATGGTCTGCAGCAGCTGCTGCTTCTGGGCCTCCTTCTGAGCCACCTCCTGCTCAAAGAGCTTCCTCCGCTCCTCCGTGGAAAGCTTGTTGCGCTCCTTGGTCCTCCCCTTCTTGCTGCCGTTGAGATTGCTGTACCTTCGAGAGAACGGCAGTTATTAGAGTATCGCCGCACGCAACTCCCACGGGGACAGCAGCAGAGGCTTGTGGGAAGGGCGATGACAGTAGAATTAGGCCTGCACGTGTGAACAGAGGCCTGCAAACCCACTATGGGTGGGATCGGAAAGCATCCAATCATGACCTGATTCATGACTATGAATGCAAAAAGCAGCCAATGGGAAGAGACCCCCATTCAAAGTCAAGGCACTGTACTCATGCCCACAGCACTGCCGTCACACATGCTAAAGCAGCTAAGGCGATAAGAGGTTTGATGGGCGCCCACCCGTCCCTCCCTCACCGGTCATCGCCAGCGCGCCGGCTGCTCCTCTCGTAAGCGGACGGGGGCGGCGACAGGGAGGGTCGGCGGCGACGGCGCTCGGTGCTGCGTGGCGTCCTCTCCAGGTCGCGCTCCCTGTCGCGGTCACGGCTACCGGACGAGGTGCGGGTCGCCTGAGGGCCGTCTCGCTCCCAACTGCGCTCTGCTCAGAGGGGCGGTGGCCAGATGAGCAGACAATCAGCGGGGCTCAGTGTTTGACACGAGCCGCTGCCCCTCCCCCCGGTGTCCCGAATGCATTATACAAATGAGGAAGCGTTTAATTCAGCGAAACCTCGTTAATGACCCAAAATGGCAACGGCTCAGCAGAGCAGCAACATCTGAGCAGGAAAAAAGCAAGACGTCCCTACTTAGCGCTATTCTAAGACACCTGTTAAAACAATCCAAGTGAATATTAACACACTATATGGCTGTCTGCAGCCATATCAGGCAAACAGATTTTGGCCAGCATTAATGAAGAGCCGTGTTAAACTCGGCTGTACTGCAGCCACTGTGGGCAGTAGTGGCTTAATGGTTAGGGAAGCGCACTTGTAATTGAAAGGTTGCAGGTTCGAATCCCCGACCAGCAAGGTACCGCCCCCAAGCACTGCTCCCCGGGTCCTGAATCAGCTGCCCCCTGCTATGTCACGATGTCACATATGTGTTAAATGCAGAGGACACATTTCACTGCTGTGTGCTGTGTAGTGTCAACAATGACAATTAACTCTTAAATTCTAATTTTTAACACCTTAGCTTCATAAAGAATTCTATTCACCTGCAGTGAGGTATTTTTAAAACGCCCTCTTGTCCTGACACACTGCTTCTGAATTTCTAAACTTCAGACAGACTTGGACATCGGTTCATCCGTCTTGCACATCCTTTATGATGTTAATCAACAGGCTGGTCCTCCAGGACCCAACACCTCAAAATTCACTTATTTTGTTTCTGTGGCAAAAATTAGCATTAGCCTATGCGTCAGGACAACACCTTGGCTCTGCTGATATATTCATAAACTCTGGACATTTCATCATAACACCTGTTACAGCAATGAGGAAAGACAACAGCATGTAATGGCACAAATGGTCCTACCCTTGGGCTCCTTTTCCACCTGGCTCTTCTTGGGAATTCGGTATACCTCCTGTAAGGAGACACGGGGTCAGCGTCTCCCTCACACAAGCTGCAGATCGTGGCGAGGATGCAGGGGTGGCCTACCTTCAGCTCCTTCCAACTGTCCAGCAGCCGCGTGGCCATGTCGCTGACGTCGGCGGCGCGGACCGGAGGCTCCTGGCTCCTTTCGCTCTCCACGTCTGACACCGCCTCCTCCTCATCCTGCGATGGGGTCTCCACAGCGACAGACTCTGCTGCAACAGGCCCCGCGGCCACGGGAACGCTGGATGCGGTGGGCTCGGCAACGTCGACGGCTGATGACCCAGGAGGTTCCGTCGCCGTGGCATCGGCTGATTCCGTGGCCTCGGCCTCCGCTGCTGTAATGGGTGGGGCCTCCTCCACGGGCTCGCTCACCACTACCTCCATCACGCTGGAGGCCTCTTCTTCAGCAGCTACTTGAGCACCCTCCAGTCTGGGAGGCTCCTCCACAGTGAGTGTCTCATTCTCACTGCTGGCCTCCACTTCGGCGGTCACCAGCGTGGCCCCCTCTGTGTCTCCATCCTGGTCACTCCCCTCCTCGCTGAGACTGGGCCCCTCTGTCCTCTCCTCCTCTGGCTGACTGGCTTCCACAACTTTGGCTTTGACCTCGACCTCGGAGCCCCCCGAATCTTCGGACACTTCCTGCTTACTAGCTCCTGGCTCTTCTTCCTCGGCCTGGGGTTCCCCAACTGCCTCTGTCCCGGCCTGGTCGCTCACAGCAATCTCCGTGGGCAGGGAGTCATCCTCCTCTTCTTCCTCTTCCTCTTCGTCATCCTCCTTACCGTCTGAGGCCTTGCTGGCATCCGACAGCGCGCTGTCCAGGCTGTTCTCGCTGATGATCTTGAGGCGGCGGTACACGGCCCTTTTGGGCGTGTCACTGTCCAGCTCGGGGCCCTGCTTGGCTGGGGGCCCATCGGGGGTGTTAAGTGGGGTCTGGGCACGGGATGTGTTTTCACTCGAGTAGCCATCCAGCTCGGGGGCCTGGGGTAGGGCCTGGCTTTGGGCCCAGCGCTGAATGAAGTGTAGAACCCGGCTCTCCTCTAGCATGTTCTTGGTGGAGATGGGCAGAACCTCCAGGCTCTTCATGATCTGCACAGACACACACATCAGCCCACGGCCATCCTCCCCGAAACACCTCACCGGTAACCTTTTGGGATCGGTGCACCGGCGGACCGGCGGATCGCCCATGCAGGCTGTCATCTTACCTCCAGCTGCAGCTTGATGTTGTTGCCAGAGTTGCCCTTCCCTTCTGAGAGCTCCACCATGAAGATCCAGAGCAGCGAGAGGCCATGGTGGTCGAGGAACTGCTTCAGGCATCCGGGATTCTGCGTGTTCTGTATGAGGATCCAATAATGCATGTCATGGCACGGTTCATCTAAATTCCACTCCAGATATACTCAAACTATCATATCATTGCATAATGTCTCAGAACAGCTGAGTAATGATCAAACATCTAGCACAGGCACTGTACCACAACGTGAGGGCTGCTCTTTTTCTGAGAAGCGATGTACAAAGCCTCATTCTTATTTCCAGGGTCAGAGAACCATGCATTTTGACAGAAATGTTATACGTCACATGACCACTTTATACCAGCACATGAATTTGGACGAGAGCTGATATTCCTCTAAACAAAACATCTATGACAGCAGCACAGCCCACCTGGATGAGCTTCAGGCACGTGAGCTTCTGCTCCATGGTCTCTACTCGCACCATCAGCCTACAGAGAGAAAGCACCTCTTTCTCGTCTGTGAGGCCCTCTCCGTTCTCCAGTAATGCTTCCAGCTCCTCATCCACCTGAAAGAGGCAACAGTGAATAGTCATGTAACTTTAGGGGGTTTTAGGGGGAATAAAAAAATCCCTCCCAGCCAGCACACTGACATGAGCAAGCAGAATCCTAAAAGTCACAAATAAAGGAGGTATGAGTCAGAAAGCCAGACACTCCCCTTGCCTCTTACTTTCAAAGAGGGAGGGGGCATTATTCATTTTACTCCCCTTCTAAATCACCCAAGCCTGAAATATTTATCAGTTAAAGAGAAAATTCTGCTGGTGTTATTTTAGGAATTATATAAACCATTCACTGGAGATTTCAGAGCAATTAGCCTGAAGCACACAGAGACCTGACCCAAATCAGCTAACAGACAATTCATTTTTACTGCTGAAAATTACTGGAGTTAATATAGTCCAACCGCGCAGACACATTTGGCATCGGCTACAGCCGTGTTAAACTGGCAGTGCCCGGCAATCAGAGGATTCAGACAAACACTTGGGCAGCTGGGTCCACTTTGCTCGCTGGGTGGTACATCACACAGTGGGTAATAGTGTTCTGTGCTCTTGTACCTTTAGCTGATGCTCTTAACCTGAACTGCTTCAGAAAGATCCCCATAATGCACTGAATGAAAGAATTAGCCAAGGCACAGCAGCAGAGAGAGGAATGTCTAATAGTATTATCCGAGTGAATTGCTCAGCGACAAATGCAGTTTTAGGCATACAGCTAATATCACGGCACCAAAAATGGTTGTATATGAAAAATGTAGGGTGTATATGACCACAAGTCATCCCTGAAAAATTATAAATCCGCAGGAGACCTCTGTGTAAAGTACAGCCAGAGATCAGAACTCACTGCCAACCACATCCACAACACTCACAGTGAAAAGCTGGAATGAACAAATGAACAAAAAAACAGCACAGAGATAAGCAGCCCCCAGCACTCACCGTAGTGAGCGCGCTCACAGTGTCCTTCTTCCTTGTCCGCTCCTTCTTCATCTTGCCCCCTGCCGCCCGGATGCTCACCCTGTTCTCTCCACCCAGGAAGCCCCGGCAGCTGGGTGCCCCACAGAGGCATTTCTGGGCCTCTTTCCTGGTGAGCCAACCAAGGAGAGGACAGGTGAGGTGAGGTCCCGCTCCCATGGAGCGTCACGCGTGTTTGCCATGAAGCGGGATCCGATGGTGCGAGCACACCCACCCGTATCTCTGGAACTGGTAGTCAAAGGTGAGCTCTGTGCCGGATGGCACGGCCTTGGTGGTGAAGAAGCCAACCCGGAGCTGCCCGTTGACGGTCCACTGCGGAAGCACACACGGGACATGGTGAGAGTTCTGTAGCTGCTAAGTGCAAGCTGAGAGGCCGGGTGACAGCTAAAGCTAATAAAGCTAATGCCCCCCCAAGGCATACCTTCTGAGTCTCGCAGTTGGGCTCACAGCTGTGGTTCATGAAGCGGGAGCAGTTCCCCTTCAGCGTGGCATCGATGATCTGTGAGACACACAGAGCATGTCAGGTCAACGGCAAGTGGCTGCCATCGACCGCAATACACACATCCAGAGCATTTCACAATTACTAAACCATCCTCCGTGACTGTATTCTCCTCTCAAGGGCCTTAGTGCCAGAGTGGAAAGGCCTCCGGCAAGCAAACCCCAAAGTCAATCCAGCAGGACATTTCCATCACAAGGTTCACCTCGTTGTTCTTCAGAGCCATGAAGTAGTAGTGGATATTCTTGCTGCGAGCATACTCCTTCACACGAGCCTTGAACTCCTTGTGGTCCAGTACTTCTCCACAGTACTCCAGAACAAAGGTGTTCCTGTAACACAAAAGGACAGGGGTGTAACATTTATACTCTCCCCCCCCCCCCCGATTTCTCTTTAACAGCAACAGTTTGCAGGGCAGCTCAGACACTCACGGTGCAAGATCCTTGGCGGCCCGAAGCCCCCAGCCCTTACTCTCGGTCAGAATGACCTCAAAGTCTGTGTGCTGCTTCAACTGGAAGCGACGGTTAGAGCAATATGGCCCATTCAGGCAGCGTGATGAGCTGCAGGCAGACAGGCAGAGAGATGAGGAAGGAGCATCGTTATTTCATGATGAAATATCACCGGCGCTCACTATACAACTGAGGTAAAGGACAACACTAATTACCACCCAACTACTTCGGCAAAAACACACCATTCAGTTTTTTTTAAGTAATAAAAAAAGATTAAATAAAATTTGAAATGATAGATTGTCATCTTATTCCATAGCCATGTTAAATATCATGTCTTTCCACAATTATATTCCACCATAAAAATGTGTTACAGTTATTCTGGTTTGGAGAGGAGTCACTACTATATTCACTGGCAACACTGTGCCAGTGAACACTGCCATCTGTGACTGCAGATTGTGCAGAGCTGGAATGTTCATTCCCTATTTAAAGTGTCCATTTAAGCTAGTGGGAATATTGTATTTGTTGAGGAGGATACATTATGCTATGTTATTAACAGTAAGAAATCATACAATGCCCCCACTCCATACACACAAATGGCAAACATTTACAATATCCCCCTGGAAGGTTTTCTGATTGGTGCCCTGCACCACAATACAGATGTCAATAACACAAGGGACGTAAACACCAGAGCATGCATATAAAGCCAGCTGCTCTTGTTCCTCATGATAACCACACCACCTCTGCGTAGCATGACATCATGCCGGAGATGAAGGCTCACCACTCAATCATCAGCAGGCGATTGAGGCAGTCGTCACCGCAGGCAGTGGCCCCGCGTCCACGCTCCTCTCTCGACAGCACAGCGCACTCGCATTGCATGCGCTTTATGTCCCGGTGAGACTTGTTCTTCTTGCTGCATGCAGAAAAAGCAGATTCATCGTTTCACAAGCCTCTCCCTGGTCTTTCTTATTTAAGAAACATAATCTCTGGCCATAAAAACTGGCCACATAATCTCACTCACATAAGTGGCAAAGAAACAGACGTGACTAGTATGCAGATAAAGTCAAAGGCTTGTGAATTTATGTTTATTTTCAGTACCATAAAATATTTTAAATTCAAGAAAATATCATAACATTAGAATTTCCATCCTCTCATTGACAATGACAAGCATTGACAAAGGTTCAAAATATGTATTTGCTAGAGAGTGACTTAATTACGTACCAACTATGGACCAACATTGTAAAGTACACCAGAAGAATCATTTGATTTTGCATCCTTTCAGATACTCACCGCTCTGTCAGATATACATTCTCCTCAATGAGATCAAAGTATGGAGGCATATTTTTCAGCTTAGCCATCTCCTTCCAGGCAACAGGGTCCAAGAAGTCCTTCAAACTGAGGAGAGGCCGTTCCACCTCCGTGGTTTGGTTTGGTGTCTCTGCAGGGTCTTTTGATGTCCTGATGACAGCTGCCTCTTTCAGACGTTCCCTCTTGCTGCAGTTCCCCGGCTCTGCCTCATTCTCGGAGTCGGACTCAAACTCCGGCCGCCTTTTCTTGGGAGGCCCCCTACCCCGATGTGGTTTCTGGCTCTCCTCTCTGGGTGTGTCTAGGATGCCACCCATAAGACCTCTACAATTGCTGCTGATTTCATGGGCTTGAACGAAAGAGGTGGAAGCAGGTGGCAGATGACTACCAGAGCCTATGGTTATGCGGCTTCTGGGACTTTCTTCTTCACAGTCATTAGTCAGAGAGTCAGGGTGCACTTCATCTAAAGTCTCATGATATTGTGAAGGCACAGGGAGGTAGACAGGTCTGCAACTCTGTGAAGTGGTGGGCTGACTCCAGCAACCACCTTGCTGGACAACCGGTCCCAAAGCTGGATTTCCAACAATAGGTGGATTCGGTGCTTGGATCCCATAACTGCTATCTGGCTGCTGAAATGTACTGCTGGGTTGCTCACACTGTGAGAAATCCCAGCTCATACTGTAAGTATCCTTCTTGCCGAAGTTGCCGGAACCAGAAAAATCTCCCTCTTGCTGATGCCGGACGTACCTCTTCCGATCATGCCAACTATCAGGCCTGTCATACAGCCGGGAGTGTGCTGGGTCAGATATCCTCCAAGAGTTCTCTTGACTGTAGAAGGGACCCATTGAGTTGTGTGTTGCTGGGATCTTAGGGGTTTCATAAGCATTAGATTTTAGGTCTTTGGACTGCTGGACCTCAAGGGTGCGGGAAGTTTCAACATGACTAGTGCTATCAACCATATTGCTTTGCGATTGATAGGACATGCTTGGAGGGGTTGTGAAGAGGGACTTGTCAGTGCAAAAGACATCAAGGCAGCGCTTGCTGCTCTCGGGCAGCCAGTCGGGGTAACCCCTATGCCTCCCAGTAGGGCTGAGTGTGCCAGGGACTTCCCTACAAGTATCCTCTCCACGATCAGCTTCTTGACTTCTGGTTCCCCTCCAACAATGCTCCTGCGAATCCGCAGACAACTGTCGGGGGCTGTTACTAGGACTGGAAGATGATGCTAACATGGCCCTTGAATCATGAGGATGAGTGAGTGTGGAATTTTTTGGCACAACCACCACAGAGTGTAACCTGTTTTTAGGGATACTGCTGTCATCCGAGTCACAGTCAGAATCATCAGAGTCACTGTCATCAGTGTGGCCGCCAAGATCCTGGCCAAGGCATACACTGTTCCTTTCAGGCTTATTCCGTAAATAACTATCCTGCTGGTAATCTCTAATGCTATCCCCAAGTGAATCCTTCACCCTAGCGTCATCTCCTGAGCCAGACACAAATCTTGTTTTCAGCAGCTCTTTGTTGCTCATATCACCATGAGATTTGATGTCCATTTTTGTGTTGCTGGTGTCACATGCTTGAGATTGTGCAAATGTTTTTAATGGCTGCATCTGTTCAGTGAGCTTAATTTTTTCACAAGATTTTGTGAGTGATCCGTCTTCATTGCTTATAATTCCTTCATTCTTTATAAACTGATGTTCTGTAGGCAACGTGTCTTTGCTTACATCGATTCTGACTAGCTCATCATTCTTGGATTCTTTCTTTAAACCATCTTCCATTGATTCTTTTGAGAACTCTATTTTCCTAACAGAAATAATTTTTTTAACCAATGATTTAGACTCATAAACGGGTATTTTTTGAGATGTTTCATTAGCACTGACTTCCTGTCCAACAATATCCCACCGAGATTTCTTCATGTTACTTTTATTTTTCAACACTTCAGAACCTTGTTGCCCATATTTCATATCAGCAGCTGAATGTTCATTAACTTTTATGACAGACTCAATTTTAGGTGGATCAACAGAAGACTGTGTGCTGACCTCACTTGGGTTAGAAACATCCCCTGATTTAGTGTTTTGCTGCAAATTATCTCCAAATGGCAGTTCTTTTACCGGAATGAAATCTTTATACAAGTTTGGACTCTGCCCTCTTTGAGGGGGGGTACTACTAGGTACCACACACATGCCACTACTTGGAATATCAGCAGTGGAGGTCTTTTCTGAAGATTCTGATATCTGGTGGAGAGGCTGTGCACAATGCTCACCTTCACATACAGCTCCATTACCTTGCTTGTTTGGGGAAATGCCATTTGGAACCTCATCATTCAGTTGAGAGTTAGTGTTTGAACCTGAAACAATCTCAGATTCTGCAAGAAATTTTACCCCACTTGAAGTACACGACCCTTTGGATGACACTAAATTAAGAGATTCCTCCGAAGTCCCAGATAAGTAATTATCTTTTGGACAAGGTTTGCAACTAAGTACTAATGAACTTGATGTATTATGGGCCTCACTTTGAGGGTCATCCTTGCTTTCTCTCACCATACCTGAACTATCAGAATCAGTGTGACTGACTGGGCAGCCCCCATCCTTGATTTGCTCACATCTGAATGTTTCAGAGGAGCTGCCAGTTTCAGAACAGCTGGTATATGTATCAGTTTGACCCAAACTTTGACTGAGCTGGCACTGTGGTGCCAATTCCACATGGAGTGATGGGAAATTACGTGAGGGAGATGAGTCCAGTTTTTCAGGTTTAGACTCAGAGCACAGGGCATATCCTGATGCTAGGGTCTCCCTACCACACATGACTATGCTAGGAGAGTTTGTTTGATCACAGACCTGACCTACTGAACCATCAGTGGAGCTATGTTCAGGCACAGTTAGGTGATTAATTTCCTTAGGGAAGCCTTGGGAAATAGCATTTTTACTAAGGTCAATGTTCTTATTTTGGACACAGTCCATTGAGGACAAGGCAATGTCTCTAATAAAACCATGTGTTACATGGCAACGGGTGCCAGGTGTGACTATAAGCTTGGAAGATGACAAATTACCTGCTTTTTCAGTCAATGTTGCCTGTGACTCACCCAAACCTGAGGAAAAGGAGAGCTTACTTAGTACCTGTACTGGAGACTTCCTTTTCTGGTCTCCTTCTGAGTCAGAGCTAGAATTTCTCACAGTTCTTTTATCAGAGGATTGTGAAGAGACTACAGATTTACAATGAGTTGATTTGGGAGTTGTCTCTATTTTGTTGAGGGTGTTGGGTTTCCAGCGATCTGGTTCCAATTCTGGGGAGCTTCTCTTGACAGATTCACAGTCTGTTTTTCTAGAGCACCTTTCAGGGTATACCTGTGTTTTTTTCTCAGACTCAGATGACCGAGATACTTCTGTGGATTTGGAGTCCCTCTCAGATTTTGTGTAAACAGTTTTAGAGTCTCTGTGAGAGCTAGAATGGTTTGATGATCGGTTGGTCCGAGTACGTGTCCTCCAATAATCATCTTCAGAATCAGAACTATCACGGGATCTACGATCTGTTCGTGACCGAGATGTCCTCCTCTCTCTGTGAGGGCTCCTGTGAGGACTCCGGTGAGGACTCCGGTGCGACCTTCGCTCAGAATCATGATAACGGGACCTATCTGACCGTGATGACCTCTCAGTTCTTGATGACCTGTCAGATCTGGAGTAAGATGAACTTGTCCGAGAACCTCTAGATCTAGACCGTGACCGGCTTTTAGTCCTCCTCCTGTCTTTGTCAGAACGAGATGATCGAGAGGATGTGTGTCTCATTTCACGATCTGACTTTGAATGTGTAGAGGATCTTTCATCCTTCACCCTTTCATCAGACCTCACATTAGATCTTTCCAATTCTTCCATTTTGTAACAAGCAGAATTCCGTTTTGCATCTTTGTTCTGACCGTCTACTTTAGCAGTGACTCTGGGTTCACCCGATCTGTAGCTGGAAGACGTCCGTACGGAGTCACCATCAGACTCAGATCCTGGAAGTGTGCTGTCTGACTGAGACTGACTCTTTCGATTCTCCAAAACATCAGTATGCTCTGTACCACTGGCCTTCTCCCTGTCCTCTCTCCCAATATGGGAAGTATCACTGAAACCTTTGAGTTCCTCAGTGGTGCTTTCATTGACTATGTGTTGGGCATGGGGAGTTGCTTGGGTCTCTAATCTAACTGTAGTTCTGAGTTCAGCTTCACCCAAAGAAGAAAGCGTTTCAAGCATAATGCTAGGTGTAGACTCCTTCTCCATTTGCTGCTCAAAACCTGTAGACACACTGAGAAGCTGTTTTTTGAAGTGCATTTTCCCCAAGTCCAATTTAGATTTGGAAGGTGAGGTGAGTGACGATGTGGGCTCAGCTACAGAAACTGCCACTGGCAGCTCTATAAGTTCATTTCTGTTTTCTGCTGTTGGCTCTGTTCTTTGCTGTGGAGGAGAATGAACAGCGGAGAGGAGAGAGAACTGAGGATCACATGGTGGATTTTCTGGGCTGAGAGGGGCCAAGAAGAGGTTTTGAAGAGGCTTCTTAGTTTGGCTGAAGCTGAATGACACTTTCTGCCGACCCTGCTCCTCCAAATTCACTTTTGACTTTGTGCCCTTGGGCAGTAGTCGGTTAGACCCCACGCTCTTTGGTGGAGGGAGGCCTTTGAGGACAGCCGTTGACTTTGAAATCCTCTCTTCTACCTACAGGGATAAAAAGTAGTTTTTAAATACACAGAACAAAAATAAGTTCTTGATTTTTGCTTTTCCCTATCCTTCAAATTCTCTAGAAAATCATATTAAATATTAAATGTAATATTACAAAGCATACAGGCATTTCTTATTTTATTTGTCTCGAATTCAGAGTAGTAAGTCTATATAGCAGATATGGGTTTTTTTTTAATTTTAGTAAGCTACTATTCATGTACTCGACTATGTTACAGATTGCAGGTAAAATTAAGCCATCTGCCAGTGCTCTTTCAGCTATTACTTACCTTGGCATCTCCTCCTTCTTCCCTGAGGCCACCCATGGAGAAGTGCATAAATTAGGAGGGAAAAGATGTCGAAATTAGGCAAAGTACAAACCAGAAGATCTGAATTAAAAAACTGGTGTTAAAGTATCCTTTCTCACTATAATTGAGAAGTCCTGTTTTTTAACAAGTAATAAAATGTAATGCAATAATAAATGCAGAGTACCAGGACATTATTAACCTCAACCCTAACTCCATCGATCCACTGCAGTTCGCCTACCAAACCAACAGATCCACTGAGGACGCCATCTCTCATGTCCTACACACTACCCTCACTCATGTGGATGGAAAGAGGGGGAATTATGTAAGAATGCTGTTTATAGACCACAGCTCAGCATTCAATACCATAGTCCCCCTCAGACTGTTCACCAAGCTGAGGGATCTGGGACTGAGTGACCAGCTGAGCAGATGGATTCTGGATTTTCTTACAGGAAGACCCCAGGTGGTGAGAGTAGGCAACTGTGTATCCAGCACAATCATCCTCAACACGGGAGCTCCGCAAGGCTGCGTCTCGAGCCCACTGCTGTACACCCTCAACACGGGAGCTCCACAAGGCTGCGTCTCGAGCCCACCGCTGTACACCCTCAACACCTACGACTGTGTATCCAGCACAATCACCCTCAACACGGGAGCCCCGCAAGGCTGCGTCTCGAGCCCACCGCTGTACACCCTCTACACCTACGACTGTGTATCCAGCACAATCACCCTCAACACAAGAGCTCCGCAAGGCTGTGTCTTGAGTCCACTGCTGTACACCCTCAACACTTACGGCTGTGTAGCCACACTCAGCTCAAATTCCTATGTGAAATTTGCTCACGACACAGAAGTGCTCGGCCTAATCTCCAACAATGACGAGTCTGCCTACTTGAAGGAAGTGGAGAACCTGGAACGCTGGTGCCAGCATAACAGTCAGCAAAACAAAAGGAGTTCATTGTGGACTACAGGAGGGAGCAGGGCTCTTACACACCTGTCCACATGAATGGTGCTACAGTGAGCACCGTAAAATACCTCGGCATCCACCTACAGGAGGACCTCACCTGGTCCACACACACACGTACTACAGTCAGCAAGGCGAGGCAGCAGCTCTACCATCTGAGGCAGCTGAGGAGGTTTAAGGTCTCTCCTGCTGTTCTTAAGGCCTTCTACCCGGCTGCTGTAGAGAGCATAGTGACCATGAGCATCTGGGAACTGCTCTGCCCAGGACCGGAAAGCCCTGCAGAGGGTGGTTAGAGCAGCTAAGCGCTGCACCAGATCTGCCTTGTCCTCCCAACAAGACATCTACACCAGCCACTGTAGGACCAGAGCAACAAAAATCTCCAAGGATCCAACCCAACCCAATAACGCTCTGTTTTGCCTGCTGAACTCAAATGCTTCCACAGCCCTATGAGCAGAACGGAAAGGTCGAGGAGGAGCTTTTCCCTCCATGGTCATAAGGCTCCTAAACTGGGACAATACTCAATGCCTCTAGGTCTTCCACCAGACTCTACAGTGACTCTTCAGTCACTGTAACACTGACATAACCCTATGAGTACTGCTTTTACACTGTCCAAATTGCTGGCACATACCTCAGGCCTCTTGCATACTGCACTTATATTGCACAGCAAAATACCTCTTACCTGTCACTTATGTATAAATTATGTACAGCTGAACATTTCACATATTTTTTCTTATTATTTTTTCTTTTTTTCTATATTTTGTTATCATGCACAGCTGCTCGGAGTGACCAGGGTTACATTTTATTACATGTTGTATGTGTACGTGACGAATAAACCTCTAGAATCTTGAATCCTTTCACTATAACAGGAAAAAAAGGGAGGGGGGTGTCACGGTACTCTGTTATTACACAAGGGTTGAATCTCCTATGCGCGCGAGTCAAAAAAGTACATATCCTACCATTGATTGAAGTTCTACGTTTACATGCATTTAAGATAGATTTCAGTGGAGAGATAGAAAAATACAGATGTGTTACCTATAAACAACTTTCCCACTGACTTACACTAATTGCATTTTTTCACTATTCGCTCGGGAGGGCTCTATTAAGTCACATCTCTAAATGGCCAAATGCAATACAGCAGTGTTCAGAATGCCAAAAGTAAAACAAAAACTACATGTTGAAGTGCTAAAATACAAAATGCATGTAAATAATTCATATAATGATATGAAAATGAAAACAACAGTATTTAGAAATATAAATTATATACAAGTATATTACCATTAGGCTGGATTCAAGCTACAGTCGAACTTCGTTACAACGTACCTCGGGGGAATTAAGAATTTGTACGTTATAACCATAGTACGTTGTAACCAAGTCCCTCAAAATGAATGATAGAACACAAAATGTATATAAAAAAACTTTTAGAAAATACCCCTCAAGTAGACACTATGACATACAGCTTGTGTAGTTTGAAGAATATACTGTAATAGGAACTATATTCTTCAATCTAGGTTAATATCAGTTACTCATAGACAGCCGACATAACGCAAAATCCACTGCCGGCTTATCGTTCAAATCGCCTTACTGTAACCTAATGTCAAACCGAAATTATGCACCTGTATATGATTCAATTGGCTGAAATAAATTTCGATACATGTGTTAGACATCTGTCTTTTGTTAATTTCTTTCACTATATGTCACACAATTACCCCAATAACCACACAGTTTCAGAACTTAGTTCGCGTCGGCAGTATAAGGCTGCCATGTATAATTCTGAATTATTTCCACCTTGTCGGTCAGCGAAATCCGTTTCCTTTTAGCAGGCATCTTGCTTGATATGCGGCAGCATGACACCATGCAAAACCATGAAAAAACGGGGGCTACATGCAAGGAGTCCAGCCGGCGTGGAATGCTTCGTGAGGATAGGTTCATACAGTTAGGCGTTGCTAAGCGATGTAGATGGCCGGCAACAGCCGATTCTGAATTGTGCGCGCGCTCAGAAGATGAGGCTGTACGTTGTAACGAAGGTCAATTTGCCTATTTTCCTCTGAAAATCATACGTTATATCGAAGTTTACGCTGTAAAGGTGTACGTTCTAAGCCATACCGGCAAATGGAATAATGCATTACGCGAATTCGGGACATCGAAATTTGAACGTTGTATTGGTGTAAACGTTATAAACGGGGTACGTTGTAACGAGGTTCGACTGTATATTTGTTTTGTCAGTACGCCTAGTAGGTAATGCAAAATGCAAACAACTCTTTCAATTAAAATACATAAGTTAATGTAAATTGCTCTGCACAACATTCAAACACTATTTCACTGTAACATTTCATTTTCATTGAAAGATTCTCATGCTTGTGAGAATGACCAAATGTAAGTATGGTAGGGCTACAGCCATGTTTTCATTTTCAAAATAAAAGGGTTTCTGTAGATTTCAAAAAGGTTCATAATGCAAATGAAGGAGTCCATGTACCACGTTTTGCTTGGCACTAAGATCACTGAGGGTGTAACCCCCTTTTCTTGCTTTATAAATTAGACTTCGTGCATAGCAGTGCCTTCTTTTTTGGGTTAAAAGCAGTGGGCGTGGTCACACTGATGAGGTGACACAATCTCACTTTTGACATACTTTTTTTTGATTCAAGCACTTGATGGGAGAACGGATCCCTTACAGCAGAACGTGTGAAAACTGAAAGTGAAACAAACTCTCGTTCATTTCCGAATGATGGTTTGCTGATCATGCATCCTGTTCAAAAGCAAAACCTGTGCCTTCACAGCTGGGTTAACAAGCAGATAATGCAAAATGACTGCACATTACATAAATTGTCTGAGGTTTGCAGTCAAACAGTATGTGCCAAACAAAGGCACTTTTAAAATTCACTAAAATATAATGGGATTGACTAGCCTAAAAACTTGAGTGCTTTGACATCACATAAAATGTTAATGAAATGTTACATTGCAATGCAAGAAAATTCGTTTTTTGATCATGGGAAGGGTTTTAATAAAACAAAACTTGTCTAATTAGGTAAGGAAAAACTCAGACACTTTGCATCTCTCACAACTTTCAACGGGCTTTCCTACACTGTATACTGCACACCAGTTTACAGAAAGCTGTCTACCCACTAGCATTTCATCTCTAGAGGCAAGGAAATGAAAACAATATTGCGGCTATGTCTTCTGTTAGCACAGTGTGGCTGCTAGGCGACACTCCTGCCTGCCGGGGCCCCGGGAGACTGACGCTGCTTCAGTGACCTTCACATTTGCCCTGGTCTAGAATGACAACGGGGGCAGTCAGTCAGCCATCCCACTATCTAGACCGAGTTTGCCGTGAAAGATTAATTCTCACCGATGCCAGCTGGAACAACCTAAACCTGCACAAAGCACATTTAAATATAAACAGAAAGGCATGTTAACAACAAGAATACATACTACTACCACTGCGCACCAGCGAAGCGAGACAATAGACTGAATGCAAGAGTACAGTTGTGTGGCACCAGGTGCATTCACTATTACGGTTCACATTTTCAGGTCGATTTAAAAGAATGGTAATTGGAGAATGCAGAACTGAAGGCCAGCTTATCAGTTTCTCAACGGTGGTAACGGAGTCATCTCTGCTGTTATTTATCCACACACCGAGGGTCAAAGAAAGGCTAGGAAAGCTGTCAGAAAGGTACGTGCGTGTGAGGATCAGCACCAAGTCAGCAAAACAAAAAACAAACTGATCATAAAAGTAGGAAGCTTCCCATTTTGCCACAGCTTATCTGATTAATGTTATGAAATTCAGGATTGTAGAATTTAGCCATTTTCAAAATTCATTTTACTGCTACATTTAAATTTATCTTGGGTGATGGAAAGAGATCATTTAAAATGGAAGTTGACATCTGTTTGATATCTGCAGTAGTAAAGTAGCAGTCAAATGCATATTTAGTACTTCATTATTACAGTAAAATATCACTCCTTTACCACACAATAGCAGTTCTCAGATATATTTGACGGTGTAATAAGAATCCGGTGCTTCTGAAGGTGATGCCCTTCCTTACTATGAAAGCTTTCACTGGCCTTACGAATTTCACAAACACATAAAAAGACCTTGTACTCTAAGATGTCCCCACAAGTTAGCTAGTGCTAATGATGTGCTGGCCCTAATCAGCATTCATGTCAAGTTTTGGGACTGTTACACTTTACACAGCCCATTAATGGAAAAAGGTGAAGTCAGAAGCAACTGCTATGATGTACACATGTGCAAATCTAGATGTCAACTCACCAACAAAAAATACTAAACTGACAAAAGTATTACAGCATGTTGTTATTGCTATAATAAATTGGCAGTGTGAACATAAAGCATGATGAATAAATTAAACTTCACATACTACTTGTGTTCTAATGTCTCAGTAAGGTCTTTAGAATGCAGAAGACCAAGTACAGCACTGTGAAGCCTGCTTGTTAGTTACTGTCAAAAGGGCCCAAGAATACATGTACCATGGCTAAAACCAGGCAGCTCTGCTGATCGACCCACAAGCAAAAGTATTAAGGAAAGGCCAATCTAGCCCATATTAGCGAGCAGTAGCCCTTAAAGTCAATGCTAGAGACAAACCGCACGACAAATAGGCAAGGCGGGCGAGAAGCCAAGAAAGCAGCACTCACGTCTCATTGAGCAGTCGGTACCTGGAGGAAAAGTCAGCAACATGCCGACTTTACAGAGCTTCCAGAGGGCATGTTACGGCAGTAACAAGAGCATCTGCGGCACACATTTCTTGAGGCAGAACAAAAGCAGATGTTTAGAACTGAATTTAAAAAATTATCTCAAGATGCATGACATGAACAAGCATGGCACGGTCGAAACGGGGGGATAGGAATTCTGCAGAAAATTCCAGTAAATGAAATTCAACTCTCCATATAGCGATCAATGCAGTCAAGTTGTCCACTGATAGTCCAAATGCTAAAGGGCTAATGCCAATAAAACAACAGTGTCACTTGCGGCAGTTTCAATTTCTTGCTAAACATTATCCTCTGTTATACCCTTCCCAGTCACTTTAGGTTACTTTTCCAGAACAGGATAGTTCCAGGTCAAAGCACAGCCACAAACACAGAAGACACTAAGGTAAAAAGACTGGACACAAACCGGCAATGTCTTGCACTGATTGAACCATCCGATGGATTGAAAGGGTGGACGCAGTCACTGAGGGACTTACAGGGCCAGAGCAAAACTGAGCGAACAGCATTACCTTCCAAGCAGGATACAGAACAAAGCCCTTCTGGTGTGGTACAGGCTAAAGAAAATGAGCAAGTAGAGGACAACATATACAGGAATGAAGGTCATGCCAGTCTTCACTCCTCAGGGGGCACCATGGGAGTTATGTGCCTATAGGAGACCTCTGCAGGAATTAAGCAGCTATTCCAAGTTCAGATATGAGGCACCTGCCAGATTTCTCATATTACCACACATAGGACTTCATTAAAAAACATAAAACTGGTGCATAATTTAAAGGAAGAGACATAAACAAACAATCATTCCGGGTTTGACAGTATTGAATCATTGCTACAATACACATACATCCTCTCTTGGTCTAAAGAGAGAAGAGATTCGCTTCTGTCATTTAAAATAACTGTTCCTCTGTTAGGGATGTAGCAAGTCACTGCAGACCTTGAACAACAAGCAAAACAAAATATTCTGTAAAGGACAACACGGAGCTTAAGAATGAATCCAATAAATTCCTGCTACATTAAAGAGAGCTTAATGAATGTTTCTGTAAATGGCAGAAAATAAGCTCAATGTGTAACAGCACAAAGAGCTGTGTGTCTAACTCAGCTGGCACTTCCATGGAAATAAATATAAAAACTAAGCCGATACAAGTGTGTGAAAAGTGCTTATTTTTTCAGGAGCATCAAGAATTCTGGCTAAAAGCAAGGAGGGTTCTAAAATGACCTATTACCACATTCATGTTTTGCCTGAATATTACTCTGAATATAACTGCTTTGACTACCATAACCTTATTGGGTGGATGTTAGTGGACAGCCCCCAGTCCTCCTAAAACACTGAAAGACCCAAGTGCTTGAATAAGTTTTATTTACACTAAAATATGTATGAAAATGTTCAAACACATACTGTCCTAATGTGTCGATGCAGTACAAGAACAGCACTACAATATCTTAAAGTCACAAGACACTGTGCCAAGATGTGATGAGCGAGGACAGGAGGCGAGTGGTGCCATGGTAACCAACGCTCCGTCGGAGTCCCGGGAAACCAGGGTGCACTGGCCAAGCAGACAAACCTGGCAGGTTGGAGAGCTATAGGGCTGAGAGGATGCCAGGTGCGAGGGGCATGGGAGAGGGGCCATGACCGGAGCCTCGTAAGAGCTGCAGAAAAGGTTCTGATGAGACAGGTCCAGAGTTCAACCACAAGACTTAGATCACAAGTTCAAACACCACAACAGCAAATACAGCAATGCTCCGGGAAACCCTCAATACATCCCTAAGAAGACATCCCTAAAAGGCAGTGTTGGTGCATGCAGCACACTTCAGGTTAGGTGTGAGGCACATTGCTACCACTGACAGATTGAGGCCTGAGAATCGACACGACAACTAGAGCCCGACTATTCATAGACAGGGGGCAAAGCAGACTAGAATCCACTGAGCAGTAGAACCACTTCAGCTCTGCAACAGGAGCACCAAGATTAGAATTCCAGAAAGGCCAGATCCCATGGAAGCACTCTGCACTATACCGGGGATGGAAAACTGTTTCCTGAAGTTTCAATGTCCAGGAAAAAAAAAATACAAAATACAAATATATTAATGTTACACAGACCTATGGAACACATGCTGCAGTCTGTCTTCTGAAGAACACAGTTCTTAGAGCTATGACAGATCAGGTTAACAACCCACTGAAGTACCCTGTATAGAGACCACCTTGAATAGAAACTTGATGCCTTGTCATGGGAATACATAGTTACTGTTAATTCCCTAATGAAAGAGCATGCAATGCCTTCTGTGACACAAGCCTGTACTCCAGAGGTGTGCATTCAAGCAAAACTATGTGGCCAAAAAGGTGCAGACATGTGTGGACTGTGCTTAGTATCGGAATGCATAACATGAGTGCATGTGCGTGAGAGTGAGTGAGTGAGTGAGTGAATGAGTGAATGTGAGAGGATGATGGTACCTGATCTCCGCCTCCACAACCATATCCATTTAGGGATGGGTCTGGCTTGAGCAGCCCGCTGGAGCTGCTGGCCCGGAACAAACCAGCTCAGAGCAGTGTGCTCTCCAAGGTGATGTCACACCTGGTAGGATTAAAGAAACACTGCTCCAGTTAACCACGCAGCACTGTGCCCTATCCCTCCCAAAGCGGGGGCAGGGGGAAACAACAAGTGCTTTCATTTCAATTGTAGGTTTGTTCCCCCCTAGCCTACCAGATACTGGACCAGGAAAATACTGTCTGCCTGCTACTCAGGCAGACCTGGGGCGAGTGCTCCAAAGCTCTCATTTGACTAAACCGTGCATAAACTCTCATACAACTATATACAAACAGTTCAGTCTTAATGGCCACAATGGAGTTATATATGAAACCATAGATTTGACTCACCTAAAATTACCTCAACCAGAACTAAAAAGAAAGGGCCCAAACATCATTACAACACACCTGACTAACTGAATTATTTACATGACCCTACGAGATTGAGATTTCACTACTAAAACTGACTACTTCATGTGTGATCAAATTTTAGACTAGATCAAAATAGTACTGATAACTACAGGAGTCAATCAAAGACTACATCAAGGAGATGTCTCAAAAAATGTGTCAAAATAAAAACCACTCATTTTTGAAAAACCACATAGGATCTTAGCTAGTCAAAGAGTAATGGAAGCACAGGGTGTAGAACAGCAACAGGGCCTGTTATTGTTCCTTTGCAAGGCACATGCTGGCTAATGCTATACAGTGCTTCCAGTCAACCTAAAAAGTGTGCAGTAAGGAAAAGATAAGGAGACACTACGAAAACGCAAAGGACTGGAACGCAATACACAATAAAGATGCAAAACTGGTAATATAACTAGTCTAATCAGCAGTTCAACAGATACCAAAATATTACTTTCCAGTGGTTTTCAAAGATATTTACCAGAAGCTCATAGGGACTGGAACGGAAAACCTAAGTTACAAAATGCCAAGAAATAAGTATGCTTTTATAGGCGATCCCTTATGGTAAAGAGAGCCTTAAAGTGGGCATTGCTGTAGGACAGTATTTCTAGTTTACTAGATAGCTACTGTATCAAACTGAACATACTGCAATTCAAAGCTAATATTCTTTGACCTTCAGAAACAAAAATGAGCAGCCAGTGGTAGCTCAGCCCACATTTCCACATTATTTGTACAAAACCCATGTTTGGCTCACGTTTGGTTGTAAAGCTCAACTTCGCAACCAAATGGTGCAACACTACATTACAATTAACATATAAATTCACTTTACAAATCTGTCTTTCATGCCTTGTTTGTCCACATAACCCCAGCAGATACACAAATATGAGGTAAACCACCTACAGTTAACTGCTAGACTTTAATTTTAACAAAGTTTTGCATCGATCATTAATTTTCCATATAATGTCAAAGATGTAGGTGGTGGTCGTCCATTGCACTTGAGAACAGTCGAGAGACATACTTAGTATCCAATCAATATCACCAACAAATAAGAAAATCATTAACATTATAGTAAATCGGTTAAAGTGCATGACAACACACCTTGTTTGGAAGAATTACATGTATTCCTTAATTCGAAATATTACGTGCTAAATATCAGCTTTTTGCCCATTGAAAACGAGAGGAAAGGATACACAGGTTGACAATACCCACTTCTAGAAGGTACACAAATGCAAGATTTTAAAAAAGAAATTTGTGGCTGCAGGTCAACTTTAAGTCTGTCTGTGACACGCAAGGTGTTCAATAAGACAAAACCTAATTAGGACACAAAAATGACATCGAGATGACATTGACCATTGGTTTAAAAATCAGCTTGACGATTACAGAAATCCAGACTGCTACTCTCCAGCTTGGAAGGAAGTTTGATAGGGAATCTCCAACATTTCTGAAAAGGAGGAAAAGCTTGTAAAAACTGAACCGAAATGTGCACTTCGTGACAAGGTAAATAATCAGAAGCATATAAATGGGCGTTCAATGTACATGATGCATCCGCCTCTGGCCCCTTTCACCGGGGCGAGTGTTGAGAGGCTGCTCAGGTTCACATCACAACCGAAAACGCAAACCCCCCACTGTTTGATCCCCGAGACCGCGTCCCGGTCCGCCATTAACTTGCTACGTGAACGTCGCAAATGCAATGCGATTTTTGACATTCTTGGTCGATCTTTGGTAGATATGTCAGAAACGCCTCGCCTCCATCTAGGTGGCCGCTTCTATTGTTTCAGCGTGTCCACTGGGAGCCATTGCTCCGGACGCGTATAGGTAGGCTGGTGATCAACTAGGTAACAACCAACCAAGTTACCTACTTATCAGTGAATACGTGAATTAAACACGGGCTGCAAATCCAATTAAAAAATAAGATGTTTTACAAATATTAGGGATAAATTTTAATGCCGATTACTGCATGTTCATTCTGCGAATGTAGCAACGCGGCTAATAATGGAGTCGCGGTGTTTAAAAAGCACTCATGCCAGAGATCGTCTGTTTTAGTCACCGTAGCCAGCCGGACACTTAATACGGCCCCAAAGATGGAACAGACACGGGGAGCCGGCTGACTGGCACACGACACACCGTAAAGTCTTTAAAATAAGAGCTCGGCGCTAGTACTGCCCCCAGGAGATGACACCAGAGAGGAGGGGGTCCGTGTGGTTTACACCGCGGATCCCAAGGCCTGTACAGAGGCCTGTGAGACTGAGTGCCTCAACTCCTAGCCCATCTCAACCGCTCTTCAGACCTGTCAGCACCCCCCAAAGTAGTTTTAGGTCGCTCCAATTCAACTTAAAAGATACATTTACCCAGCTGCAGAGCGTAGCCGCGTAATGCCGCTCCCGACGTGTTTGTTTATGGGCTAAGCGGACGGCTGCCCCTCCGGGAAACTGCTGAAGTGTGCGTGTATGAACGGGCTTAGCTTAGCCACTCACTCACGGACTCGGCTTACCTACTGTCAGCCCGCAAGGGTCACTCCGTTAACTCGCTGGATAACTAACCAGCTAGGGGTTTCATGATATGACACGGTTTAGTTGGCTAAACCGCTTGCTAATCCTCAGTTAAGCCCCTACAGGTCTGACAACTGAACGCCAAGACAGAGTGTGTCGGACGGAGGCTACCATCGCTCCGCGCTTCGCAGGCTCTACCAAGCTAGCCCCTAACAACGGTTCAAATACTCACTCCGTCGGGTGTTCCGGGTCGTAGAAGTCCCCCATCCTCTTCGCCGAAAGCGACACGAAAAGACCCCTTCGGCTTGACTGAAAAACATCCAGCGGCGCCGAAGTCCAAATCCGAACCGGCTTACTCCTGAAAGCCTAGCCGGCTAGCCTAGCCGCTAGCTAGCTAGTCAGACTGCGTTCATCGAGTGGGCAACGGGCAGCCGGACAGAGACTCCAGACCATACGGATGCGATTAATCGCAGATCGTGGGGGGGAAACCGCTGTAAGTCTCACGGGCCAATTAGGAATCCTTATTTTAACTAAACATTAGCCATGTAGACAGCTAGCTAATGACCTAGTCGAATACGATTTACCCGCGGCGACTCCTCCTCTAACGCCATGACGAGATCAGTCGCTAGCCTGCCTTTCCAGGCCGAGTTCTTACGTCACCCGGCGCGAGCCGTGTTTGGGAACGGACGCGAGCCTGATGGACTACGTAAGACCGCGAGTAGTGTCATCAAAAAGAGAAAACAGTAACATACAATTACACGACCCATTTAAGCCTGATACTGAAGATTAACTTTAAAATGTTTTATGGCTCACTGCTTTTCACGATATCACAGAAATTTAGATACTGCTTGCCGAGTTAAGGTTAGCTATAGTTAAGGAACTGTATAGTAATATACGGTATATAATTCGCTGTTTCTTACGTGTTGTGGAAAATTTGCGCATTCTCAGTACTTGAGGTATTTGTCGGAGTTTTAATCTGTGGAGTCTTTTCAACCGGTACATTTAATACTGCCATTGTTGCTGGTCAGCTGACTGGAGTGATATTTTCAATTCGAAACAAGTCTGCACATACATTTACATATATTTAGCAGTTTTATTACTTTGTAAATAGTCTGTAGGATTTGCACACTACCACAACGCTTGTGATATAACTAATTTTATGTTTCTAATGGAATAAGATAGATTTGCCGTAAGATGACCGGGAGAGTCTGAAAGCGTTAGTGTCACGGCACATGCGTGAGAGTTGGCAGTCCTTTAGCCTTACAGTAGGTCGGTAATTGGCGCTTAGTTACCAGGTAAGCCATCGTGGTTTTACATCCTGAAGAAGTAGCTCAATAGCAGCATTGGAACAATAAAAAAATAGATTCTACATCTGTTACTGTTTTCAAGTCACCCATTCAAGGATGGGAAGTTGGCAACACTGACCAGGTCAGGCGATGGAGCCTTGGAATATGCTGGCAGTGTGGGTGCGGGGGCCGCAAGATTTCAGTCCTGGCTATTGGTGAACATCAAGTAAATGACGTAATTTCTTTGTTTACCAGTATGTTTTCCTATATGTATTGGAAATGGGTGTAAAATTATAAATTTGCTACAACAATGTTTTGCAGCAGGGTCTCAGAAATCAGTAAAAGTATGTTTTAAAAGGGAAATGGTCACAACAAGTTGCTTAATTCTAAGGCCCATTTTTGTATAAATGTAGGAGGGGTCGGTTGTTATGTGGGATTTATAGGGCTATGTACCATCCACCCAGAGCATTGCAACACAGTTCTGACTGTGGTCTCTATGTACATATGTTTGTGTCCAGTAATCTTTGTGCACAGTTTTTTTTAAAAAGATCATAGTAATTTTGCTGATGTTGTTAACCTTGTAGAGGGAAATTCATATAAATCCATGCAGCAGCAGGTGGGGCCCTTTTGACCAGACACAGGGAATGACGCACCCCCCTCTCCACAGAGAGATCAAAAGGAATGCCAGGCCTCATCCTGGTTGCTGACCAATAAAGAGCCTAGGGAAAGGATTCAGGTGTTAAGTGAGATAAAGCCTGAGTTTTAGTGGAGGTAGTTTCTTAATAGACCGTACCAACAAAGATGCTTGCTGTTATGTGAAAACTGGATAGTGGTTTCTTCATTGATCCACAGGAACATGTTATTTGCCAGTATAATGGCGGGAAGGGCTGCATACTTGTCTTTAAAACCTACTTTGTCCCTTCCCCTCTCCATTTTTAATCAATAATATAGTATTTTCCAATATATGCATAACATTTCTATTTGGTAACTGCTTCTATATGAATAATTTCTGTTACTGGCATAATTACATTTTTCCATATTGTATTGTGTAGTATGTAGAACCTACTGAATAAGAAGAAGTGGGGCTTCAGGTCTGGAGACAGGAAGAAGATCATGTGGGTATTGGTGGAGCTGAAGAAGCTGCAACAAAACAGCTTGAAGGAGGTGTGGAGTTGGATGAGAACTAACACTGGCTACAAGCAGCCTGGAAATTTTGTAGTGGAAAGGAACAAGGATAATGAACTGAAATCTGTTAAACAGATTTGACTCTAGCTTGCCAGTCCAGCCCTCTCCCAACACTGCCAGCCTCACTGTGACAACTGCTCCTGCCACATCTAGTACTTTCACACCTCCCTGCAACTTCCCCACTGAAGACACCACAACCACCCCCCCACCACCCACCTGACTTCCCAGACTATCTGGTTTGCTGAGCACATGAGGAAAATGCTGAGGAAACTATGCACAGGTAAGTGGTGGGGTCTTGGCCTCAGAGTACTGACAGTATGTCCCATGCAGTTTTACTGGGATTTCTACTTTTCTTCTCCTCTCTGGGTCTGCAGAAGGGGCCCTGGCTCTGTAGATCTGCTGCCAAAAAAGGGGCAGCACATCTACCTTGAAGAGCTTCAGACCAGTTACTCTTATTTCGCATATCACAGACTTCTGAGAGACTGGCCCTGAATCACTTCTGATCACAGGTCACAGACAACCAGGACCCCCGGAGGTTTCCCTATGAATGATGGTTTTCCAGTCCGCAGTGGCCAGTGTACTTCTGGTTTACTGGGAAAGCGGTATGATTTCAGGTGTTGCCAAACACCTGAACAAAGTCATCTGAAAAGTTATCTCCATCACAGGGCATAATGTACTGTTTGGTGCAGAGAGTAGGATGATGGGAGAACTTGAGGACATCATGAACAATTCCACGCATCCCCACCATTGACCATTCTCTTGAAGCACCATTAGCCACTGATCCATTCCACCACTCTGCCATCTTTTCTTCTGGCTGCCCTCAGGAACAGTGCCTCCCCACAATGTTCCAGCCTTTTTAACCAATGATTATCAAATCCTCTTTCTCAAAGAGGTGATGAACAAGGTTGGTCTTGGCACCTCCTGCCCCTAGGCCTTTCCTCAATCATCCCCATTTAGAAGTCATGTCCATGGACCTGAAATAAATGTACACTGCCATTCAAGAATTGTACACTGTCAAATTGATTATCAGTATATTAAACCTGCTTTTCCTTCTTATTGTACTATTGCATTTAACAGGCACTTAAAGATTACACATAAATTGTACACTATTATTTTCTCTGTTTCCTTAAAGCAATCTGGTATCTTCAGTATGCTATGAGGTACACACTATGTATGATTGTTGCATTATTATTGATATTTTGCTGACTCTTGGTGTGCTGTGGCGTAGTTTAAACAGAAGTGTTCTGCTACCTTTCTGAGATTACTGTAACAATGCATTGGCCTGATTCTCCACCTGCACTTATGATGGCTTACTTCTCATGCCTATGGCACTTCAAGTACTAAAACATGGCAACCCTTTCTCCCAGAACCCTTTCCCCATCTGGCAATTGGATGGATGCAGCTGGAAATAACAGCTGCTAAACTGTCTGATATTTTTTCATGTCTTGAGTGAAGGATTTTGGGTGGGTGAATCCGGAGGAGAATAAGCAAAACTTAACCTAAGGCTAACCTGATTCAACAACCCAAAGGGAAAATACTAATGGACAGGTTTACATCAGTTTAGATTAACTATCTTAGCATTGTTGTGGAGCCAATCCTCAGACTTCGATAGTTTACACAAGATTTTTACCGTGGTGTTGTTTTAAACACCCAAAAGAAAAATGTGCTGAATGCACTCCTCCTAGCTTTCCATATTCTTTGTGTCGTTAATATGGTGTTAAGTAGTAAGGTTTTTTCCATGTTTGGAGTAGGGCTTGTTTTAGCCGTGTGTGTGATTTCTGATGCGAGTCATAAGTTGGTCCACATCCACCCACCTCTGCACCATGTGTTCTAACAACAACAACAGCAGCACTGCTACTCTGACATAGAGGGTCATGCACAAGCCTACATGATCTGTCAGTAGTGCTGGGAGTCCTGGACTTCCAGCAAACTTGGAACATGCGGTAGGTCATCCTCCAGGACCATAGAGCCCAAGGGAAAGGAGGCAACGTGGGATTATATTTCAATCACAGACAAAACATCGTTTGCACTATGACAAATGTTCATGTTGTGTTGGCACTTTGATGACTTCATAAGATTTGTAGTTTCTGTGTTCTCTATGCAGCATAGTAATATTTCTTTGTATAGCCTGTCACTATTTGAAACATTAAATTGATCATGGGTAAGATCCCAGAATATGATAAACAGATGGTAATGCTGTCGTTTGGTGAAGTTAGAATGAAATAATCAAAATTTCATTCATGTGAACTGCATTTGTTTTTTCAGTTTCTTTGTAGTAAGAGACACAACTTGCCTTAGTCTTGGGGGTACGTACACCATTTATACTAAGCTCTTTTGCCGTTGAATTTTCAGTTGATTACTTCTTAGCAACAGAGCTCTTGAATCAGCTTATTCAAGAATCATGTCACATTAATTTCAAAGGACAGTGCTTTGCAAAGTAATTCACGGCAAGGATTTTGCTGATATTACTTCCTGTCAAGTTCGTTTATGCTTACTAAAACTTATTCCTGACGTTTTAAATACTAAATTCAATATTAAAAATGCTACGCTGACCCAGTCATATTTTAGTAAGTAAGATAACTTACCACACACATTTGTAATGAGGTATTTTCCTAATTTAATTTCCTATAAGGAAGGTGAAATTGACTGATGCAAAGGATGTGTGACCTTCAGCACCACCCCTCCCCATTGAGCTTTTAGTAATTTTAAATGACCGTGTTTTGTCGTCTGATCGAGCTTTCAGGGTTTACACAATGTGATGTCTGAAACTGCCACTTTCCCCCATTCCTTCATACACTCCGGAAATTTGCAACACTGCATGATTCAAGAGAAGGTCTAAAGCGGGACCGTGAGTACATTGGATCTAGATTCGTGGAAATTAACGCATGCACCGAGCAGCAGTGGATTAGAGCATGTGCTCAGGCTGAGGCATATGTAGATAGCACTGTTGAGTTTGGCAGGAAGCAGTCTCCAGTTCATGTGGAGAGGAGGTATGGTAGGGATTGCACGAGATCACGCTCACCGGAAGCCTAGAGGTCAAGGTCAGCCTCCCCTTCTGCTGAAGAATACTGTGTCCTGGTGGGAAACCTCTCTTACTCAGTGGAAAAGAGTGACTTGAAGGCCTTCTTCCACCCTGTGCCGCTGAAGGATGTTCACCACCCCACCCCCCAATAATTTTGAATGACCATATTTTGTCGTCTGGCACACGGAGGTGAAAAGTGTGATTATACTGTTGTTTGAGTTGTGTACCATTGTTTCAGAGCCTCCGTCCCATTTTCGGTTTTAATGGCCACTTCAATGAGTCCATGCAGGCAGGCCAGCATTTGGTGCAGCATTATTTATGAGAAGGACCTGAAAGATGGAATCTCTGCATTCACAGCAAGAAGGGTGGCTGTGCGTGAAGGGTTTGACCACGTAAGAGCAGAGGTGGACATTCCAGGTCTAGAAAGTACAGATGCAGAACAAGATTTTGTTTCAACCAACCAGTTGAGTACTCTGTGACTGACTTTTTATGCTCAACTCTGGGTAAGAGTGGGGGGTCTTTTCCAACTTGACTGCAGGTCTAATGGCAATTAAAATGAGGCAGTTACATTTCTTTTAGACTTGCTCTGAGATTTTTCTGGGATTGGGATGTGTGGTGGGTGTATTGCAGCACATGGGTGTAGCGGGAAAAGAGGCTGGTTCCAGCAAATGACACTTTTTAAATTGTACAAACTAATTCAGCATAGGGTGTTGGAAGCGGCAGAGACAATGGGGGCGGAAGAAGATGCGATGGCACCTGTTTTTATTTAAGCCTGGAAATTACGGCAAGCTGGTCTTGCTAGAAGGTACAAGGCTGGGTGAGCCTCTGCTGACTGAACATAATGTTGGTCCACTGCAGGCTGGGGGCAAGTTTTCAGTTGGTGCTGAATTGGTCTGATAAGGTGGATGGTCCCCAAAACTATGTTTTATCTGCTGCTACAATGTTTCTACTTTTTAGCAGGAAAGGAAGCTCTTTTTCGTTCTGGCGGACGTTGCAGTGCACATACCGCCGAAATGGTTTGTGAATTAGATCATTCGACCTGTAGGTGGCAGCCGTATACCTTACGAAGTGTAGTTTTCCACGTAATTGCACCAAAGAAGAAGAAAACCGACTCGGTCTTTGCTTCCGTGTTTCTATGCGCCATGTTGTGTGAACGTAGCACTTCATGTAACAGGGTGGATAGGCCTACGGGTATTGCGTTCTTAATGTGAAGATAAAGGTTTTTAAATAATGCTTGAAGCCGCAGTGTTTCAAGCTTTTTAAAATTGTTTCACCCGTATCCTCTATATAGGAACAGCAAGAAATCGGCGATCTGTGTAAGTGTTTGCTGAGCAACAGCATCTGTCAGGAAGGAATAGCCAGTCGCTAATGTATATGCAGTAATACTGCTAGTTTAACACTAACGTAGTCATTTAGTATTGCAACTAAACTTTCCTAGTTTCCACAACCGTCAATGGCGATTAAAATTAACAATAATTCCTGAAATGACTAGCTGCCATTTACTAGAAATACTTCCTCGCTAGCTCAGTAGTTAGCACATGACGTATTTGATGTTAAACATCAAATACGTATTTGTTGTTAAAATATACTGTTGATAGCACTTTGCCAGTAAGATGATAAAGACTGCAAACATATATAACATAAACCCAAATCGCTTTTTACTCTGTCCAGCTGGCTCATTATGAAGGGCTTCGTGAAGTTATGTCACCCATGAAATAGTCGTAGATGTGCAGTATGTATAAACAGCTTGTGTTTGTAAGGGTGTTAACCACACTGTTGTATCGGTCAGTATACACCGTGGGGTTGAATGATGCGTGGTTAAACGAAGCTGGATTTTGCAAAGAATTTGACCTTGGTAACGTGGATACTACTTGCATTTTTTTAAGTAAAGGATCCTTTGATGATGGGTTGGATTTTTGCCACTGGATGTGCTGGGATGGACCTACACTGGATCTCTCTGGGTTCTGTGTGATCTCTAGCCATGCCTTGCCGTTTTTGTCATGGTGATCTGCAGATCATTGGGGTCTACACATTTTGCATAAACTTTGTTTTGGAAATAGGGATGTGATGTAGCCAAGATGGATGGACATTGAGGCATTTTTTCCCTGGATTTTCAGTTGTCTCGTGGTGTTTGTGTTGTTGCTGCTCTTAGATTCTGAGGAAGTTTGTCAAAGGAAGTGCATTGTTAAATGGCAAATTTTGTAATGCCTATGTCTGATATCTGTTACACACAGGGTATTTACAGACTGCTTGGAAGTGAAAGTGTCCTAATATAGAGTTTGATTCCTGAGTATTTAAGCAACATTTATTCTGGGCTAAATTGATAGAGGTGAAAGTGGTCTGCCAAGGCACGAGATTGTGGATTGCTTGTTATCCTGGTGGGATTTAGAGGTGGGGAAGCTAAAGTTAAGTATTTTGTGTAATGTTGCTCTTTGTCCCCTGAGCTTTCAGTGTTTACACAATGTCATGTGTCTGAAACTGCCGCTTTTTTCCCATTCCTTCAAACACTCCGGAAGGGGAACATTCTGGAATTATGGGCACAGGCGTCTTCTGCAGTAATGCTGTTCTGTTGTGCCCCTCTGTCTGCAGGTGCAGTTGGTTGTGCCCCGTCATGCCGGTGGTCATCCGTTTACAGGGACTCAGAATCACAGCTGGTTCTGAGGACATTCGCAATTTCTTCACTGGCCTAAGAATCCCCGATGGTGGGGTGCACATTGTTGGTGGAGAACATGAGGAGGCTTTCATTATCTTTACTTCAGATGAAGATGCGAGGCGGGCTATGACCCGCTCTGGGGGGTGCATCAAAGGGTCTCCCGTTAACCTTCTGCTGAGCAGCAAGTCAGAAATGAAGAGCGTCCTTGAGGCAAGCATGAGAAAATCTGAAGCAAGCAAGCGGAGGGTTTACAACGAAGGGATCAGGAGACCAAATGCTCAGACAGTACCTTGTTCCGTCTCTGAGAACCTGTCCATAGAAGGTTGGCGAATGAACCGCTCAGATATGGGTAATAGCTCAGGACCGGTCATCTTGAGTAGTCCGCGTCCTTATCGTTCGAGAAAGACTCTACCAGACAGCATTGATGGCTTGTATCTGCATTTGCAGGGATTGCCGTTTTCTGTAACAAAAGGTGATGTGACAGATTTCTTCCATGAGCTGCAGGTAGATGATGTGATTCTCCAGAAGAATCGAAGAGGACTAAACAATGGGAGTGGAATTGTGAAATTTGCAACACTGCATGATTCAAGAGAAGGTCTGAAGCGGGACCGTGAGTACATTGGATCTAGATTCGTGGAAATTAACGCATGCACCGAGCAGCAGTGGATTAGAGCATGTGCTCAGGCTGAGGCATATGTAGATAGCACTGTTGAGTTTGGCAGGAAGCAGTCTCCAGTTCATGTGGAGAGGAGGTATGGTAGGGATTGCACAAGATCACGCTCACCGGAAGCCTACAGGTCAAGGTCAGCCTCCCCTTCTGCTGAAGAATACTGTGTCCTGGTGGAAAACCTCTCTTACACAGTGGAAAAGAGTGACTTGAAGGCCTTCTTCCACCCTGTGCTGCTGAAGGATGATCAAATTGCACATCTCTTTGATAGAAATGGGAGGAAGACACGATCTTGGTTTGTGGTGTTTAGAAGCCTGAGAGACTACTGTGCTGGTTTGGCACACCACAAGGTGGACTTTGCAAACCGAACAACATATGTTTCTCCTGTTTCCAAGGAAAAAATGCTGGAGATGTTAGAGTCTGCAAAGATGAAATTGGAGGAGCATGAAGAGAGGGCCAGTAAGTCTTTTGAAAACTCACTTCATTATCATGGGTCACAAAAGATCTGCCTCTATGTCCGGAATCTGCCATTTGATGTGCGTAAGGTGGAGATCGTGGACTTCTTCCAGGGCTTTGGTATCCCAGAAGATAACGTTTACTTACTACAAGATGATAAGGGAGTTGGGCTTGGTGAGGGCTTGGTGATTTTCCGATCCGAGGAGGAGGCACTGAGGGCAGAGGTACTGAATGGGGAAAGGTTTCTTGGGTCGGAAGTGATGTTGAAAAGCATCTCTAGGGCTCAGATGCAGGAATTTGGGATCCTTGATTCATTGGATGGGCCATCATTGGAGAAGAAGCTCGAGAGGTATTCTTCAAGACATGGCAGGACGTCTCCCCTCTCACCTGGAGGAGAGTACTCTGATTTCGGGGTCCTGTCTAATTCATGGATATCTCCAAGCAATTTACCGGATCATTCATGCAGGAGTAGCAGCAGATCTGACTCACGCACAGATGGCCGTGCCACATCCATTGACAGAGGGGATGGATCTCAGCATAGAAGATTAGGTGCAACTGGGCAACCATTTGATGGCCCCACCTGTGTGAAGCTGGTGAATCTTCCTCCAAAAATCACCATTGAGGAAATTTATGACTTTTGCTATGGATACAGAGTGATTCCAGGATCTGTGTCACTGCAATGCAACAAGAATGGCATTCCTAAGGGCACTGCAACAGTTGTCTTTCACTCACGCCAGGAAGCAATGACTGCACTCCAAGAACTGAGTGGAAGGCCTATTGGGACCAGAAAAATTAAACTGCTTTTCATTTAGATTCAGAACCATTCGGTTGCAAAATGAGCCAGCGGAACAAGTTTGGTTGGGACGTGTTGTGCTGGGTGGGCTTTGAGCATTTAGCAATGCACAGAGCTTAAACAACGAGAAACTCATAGAGCATGACAAAGACCATGTGGTGCAGTCAAGGTGCATCCTCACTGACGATGGTTACGGAAACCATCATTCGCTTGATTTGTTCCAGCAGTTTGTGCTAGTAGCTTTACACCCCACTGTAGGGGGGGGTGGGAATAGTGTTTTCGCTTGATTAACAAGATCTTCATGGAACTTTTTTCCCCTTTTATTTCCAAGATTTGAAGAATTGTAGGGAAAGTAAGTTCTTCTTTGTGAATAATTTGAGCGTCGACAAAAACACTGCATTTGCTTGATTTCAGCATATTGCTCCCGTAATCAACGCATTGTGTAAATAAACCCATTGTTATGTCTATCTAAATTTGTTTCTCACAATTTTTCCTCACCTTTCTTTTATAAATTTCAGTCCAGCAGCATGGGTACAAATCCCCCCCCCCAAAGCTTCCATGTTTGACATGCCCTTTGTGGTCTTGGTCAGCAGGTCACGCATCATGAAGTCCTTCAAATATGATACTGTCATAATGTTGATGTATCTTGAGATGTTATTCAAAATGTGGACATTCCTACTTCTCAGACCTTTCATCCAGAATTAGCAAGCCTACCTGTAGTATCAATTCTAATGAAAGGTTAATGAAATACGTCAGTGAAATGTCTGTCTTTACTGTTCTTGCATCTCTTGGTTTATCTCTTTTGATATCCCCATATCCCTTGAGCTATTGCCTAAAATTATCTGTTGGATTGTGCCTGTGTGTTTAATTTTCAAACCTATTCTGTCTTAAAATATCCATCCATCCATCTCTTACTGCTTATATAGAAAGTGAGATTCATGGCAATTCATCATAACAGCACAAACGCACATAAACTAAGTATGCATTTGTGCTGTTACAACAAGGAATTGCCTCTAATTTTAACCTTTATTCTGCAGATTAAGTACTAATTTCATTTATAAGTAATTTGATGTGTAAAGGTTAAAATGCATGGTATCATTTTCTCATAACAGCGCAATTGCTCATAAAATAAGTATGCTTTTGCACTGTTGTGAAAAGAAATTGCATGTGTGTGCTTTTCTTTTACAGTGAATGTGTACTTGGGCATCCCTGCTAATAATGGTCAAGCTCACTGGGGCACCTGTCTGGGGTACAGCCTGGAGAGGATGCCAGTCCATCGCAGCTGTTAAATATGTTGAATATATTTTAATCGCCTACTTTGAATCTGATGTCAAAGATAACACACACATGCTTGAGTAATTTAGATTCATCATCCTGCTGTTGCTTTGTTCTAACATCAAAGTCCATCTTCAACCAGTATTTGCCCTTTTAAAGCTTCGCACCCCTTTATTGAAAGTACTCTGGATACAGTCCCTGTCATTCTTATTTCAGGCTCCCAACCTTCCCATGTGTTGGGTGGCATAGTGGCTTAGTGCTTTAGGATACTTAGATTGGAGGTTCAAGTCCCACCATTGCTCTGTAGTATCGTGTGTGTGTGTGGAGTTTGTGGGTTCTGCTTGTGTTGCATGGGTTTACGAAGACATGAATTGGCATCGTTTGTGCATCCCATGTAGGGTGTCTCCTACCCTGTGATAGGCTCCAGGCCTCCCATAACTCTGTACTGGGTAAGTGGTTCGGAAAACTTCTTTTTTCTTTTTTTTTTAAAATCTGAATCCACTAGGGGGCACTCAAGAATGGCTGTTCAGATATACAGTCATCCTTCAAACCACTTTTGCTGCACTGTGATTGGTTTTTCACCTATTACAACCAAACAAAACATGTGGCACGTTGAGGAATGTATCTCTAAGCCTATATGAATATCATTACAGTTTCAGGTGCATGCTGGTTTAAAATTTTTACATTCTAAGTTTTTTTTTTTTTTTTTTTTTTTTTTTTATTGTTACAGTAACATTAAACACAATTTTGGAGCTGGTTTGTCCGAACCAGCTTTACCACAGGTCCCTTAACTACAGCAATCAGTTTACATGAAACTTAATGGCACAGATATATTGCTTAATTGACATATAGCAAATGTAGTTAAGCCCTATAATCAGTGCTCAGCCCTTCACCACGACCAGGCAGCTGTCAACTCAGCTAATCATTCTGCTGCTCTAGAACATGTTTTATGTCGACCTTCTTGTCAAAATTCACAACACAGAAGCATCAGTTAACACACTCCCACATAAACGCAGCCTCTCTCCATAGTGCTGACCCAGCCTAGTCCTGCTGCTGGGAATACAACAATTTCCAACCCCCGCCTCCTTTCCTCTGTTGTGGACCTTGTATCCAGTCTATGTCTCAGATACCACAGCTTCATACATCATGATTCTTCACATAACCACAATCCACAGTATTTTCTTTTGAGTCATTATGATAAAAAAAGTTGAGTATAAACATCCAAACAAAATCTGATGATTGCAGTCCTGATACCAGATGTCAGGAACCGTTCCATTGGTTAAACAACATCGAATGCAAAAAATGGCTCGTTCATGTTTAAATAAAGCTAGCAAAATAAGCCTTGTTTCTGAGATATGCCTGCATTTAGCAGAAATGATGCTATAAGTACAGCCACTAATTACTGGCTATACCCATACGACAATAAACAATTAGATAATTTAAAGCCATCTTTCTAATGTCATTCAGCTATTGAATGAACTGTAGTTGAATAATGAAATGGCAGAACCCTTTTCCTCAAACAAAAGGATAGATTCAATCAAGAGCTCTATCATGCTTAATGAAGTGTCTTCCTGGAACAAAAAACAGCATATGTATTGGTCCCTAAGGACCAGGGCTTAGAAAAGCCCAATTTAGATATAATGTCATGTAGGAGAGTTCTTCAACCTAGTCATTTCAAACATCTGACAGCCAGTTCCAAAGAAGTTATCTCAATATGGGCGATTCAATAACTGTGCTGTTAGTCAATCCTGCGATGGTTCACATTAAGGGTTATGAAATACTGAGTAGATAATGGAACTCATCGTAACCAATCAACTTAATGTAACTTGAACTGCAGTGGGGACATTCTAAGGAAGAAATTCAAAATAATTCAGCACAAACAAACATTGGCCCTTTTATTATGAAATTAATGGTGGCTTACAGGTGTAAGATGATCTATAAATGTACCAAACCCCTGATGTGAGAGTCATGGTGAATGAATATGTTCAAAAGCTAAATTAAGCCTCCCTCCCCAAACCGAACCTCCATTTTGAACAAATTAAGAACAGCTTATTAGAACATATTCAGATCTTTCTGTTCTTTGGTTTGTTGTTTTAAACCAAGTGTTTGTTCTCTGCATTTGGGGTATTTTATGTTGTAGGCTAGTAAGTGAAACCTAAATGAATTAGCTAAATACCAAGATCAAAGGTGTTTGCCCTTCCTAGGTCTGGCCCCGTAATGGATCATTGTTACTGGAGATGCTGAATAAACACTGAGGACTTGACCTCGGTGTCCTCAAAGTTAGGTACAGGCACAGCTTTACCCCAAGTAGTAACTAGAGTCAATATAAGATGAGGCAAGACACATTTGCCAGTTTTATTCTTCAAAATATTTAAATCAAGTCATTCCTGATGGAAAGCTGACTCAAGGAAGAATCACACCCAGTAGTTGTTCTTCAGTAAAATGTCTTCAGTAAAATCTTTAAAGAGTGAGGCACGGGTTAAAAAAAGCACTTCATGCTGAAAGCGGTGAGGCTAGCTTGCCATTTAAAACTGCAGTTATAGGCAATATCCTCGGCCTCAAATTACTGTCTGAAGAAGAATTCTGCCTGGGACGTAAATCATCAATTCAGTGCCTTGCAATAAATAATTGCTCCCCCTGAGACTTATTTCCAGACCCCTTCCCATAAGCTCTCCTGGGTAAAACAGTGTTTTACTGTGGTATGGCAGTTTTACTTGTACGACTGCCTTTTCCAGCAAGAAAGCGCACTGTTGGGGCTGCCGTGAAGCCTGCTTTTTGTGAACTCCTCAGTTCAGAAGGCTACATTTTGAAGCAACACTCGGGCAAGAATATTAAGTCATGTTCCAGCTGCCAGTTAATATCTGGAATCTTGGTGTCTCTAAAGACGCTTTTCCACTGCACCAGGTAATGAACTTTTGGTATGTCAAAATGGTACCAAAGTCGACTGGTAGTTGTGTTCATTTTCCACTGGAATGACACTGGTACTGGTACAGAATGGCAGCATCACAATGCCAGATGGGGTGTTTTGTGCTAAATTAAAAAATGGCTGGGCGGTGTGCGATCGTGCTATCGATATCGCACGTCACGCAAACGCAATTCTCACATCTCAAGGGCCACAATAGTTAGCTGGGTTGAGATCAGGCTGCTTTTGCATGAGATCTGCATGCGCTCTGCGAGCAACTCATAATCATTTTCATCTTTGCTGTTTAAATCATTCATAGACAGGTGAATGACAAATTTATATTTATAAATTTACATTTATAGCAAATATGTTTGATTTCTTACGTCATGCCATCCAGATCTTGTTGAATCTGTTCTTTCAACCAGATCACAATTAAAACTTGGGCCTCGTCATTTGTCCACGCATCTATTATTATCAGGCCTACGTGTTTTCTTACTTTTATTGTTGTTTCCTGTAGCTGCGCCTTTTCAAGGTGGTTGTTGTATTTTGTGTTTCAGAGGTAGGTTATTTGTGTAACCATTTAACAATGAACCCCATCTGGTTTGGTACTTCAGTCCTGGTACTGGACCAAAATACTGGTACTGAAATCACTGGGAAAAAAGAAACGTATCGATTGTTTTTTTAAATTACCAAATGATTGGTGTCTGATGCAATGGAAAGCTTCGGCAATCAGCATCCCCCATTTTTGTATCTCAGAACTTCCTGCAGGTAATCTTCTGTCTGCAAATGTGCTTGTTTGTGCTCCCTTTCCTACAAAGAGCCTGGTTTGCTTGAGATATGATTAGCCATTTCCTACTGAGATCTCCCCATTATGATTTATGACTTCCTGTTGTTATGACTCAGTATTTGTTTCTTTGCATGACATATTAAAAGTTGAACTGATTTCCAAAACTTCAGCACTTTTATAAACCATATATATATGGTTATATGCTATAAGCACTGCATCATTTACAGACATTGTATGGCACCCAGTGCCCCAGTTAACCAACACAGATAAAGGCTTTTTACTGTCATTATGTGATCTCATTATTAGTGACCTTATTGCAAGATGGAGTGGCAGCAGTGTGGAAACACAATCTGGATTCATATGGACCCGTTTTCTGCAATTTGACGGCATGCATATTCAGTTCCCTGTCTGTGGGCCTGGAGGAGGTTCTCTACATGATGAGTTCGCCTCCTTCCGTGGGGCTGATGCTGACAGATCCAAGGACCATCTGCTTCCTTCATCCTGGTTTG